TTCAAAACAAAAAGCAACAAAAAATGGCTGCACACCTTCTGAAGGCGAAATTCCTGAATGGGCATTTTGCGCGCTTCACTGAAAGTCATGTGCCGCAGCAACACGGTGGTACCAAAAGTCAGCGCGTCCATGTCCTCGGTGGCTGTGGCAAAAACCTTGCCGCCCTTGACAAGTTCGGCGCACTGCGCCTCAGCCTCAGTAGGTGCCTATTGAAAAAGTCGTCGCAGACGGCAGGGCGTGGAGGTGTCCATTGAGTCACAGTCCAGTGCAGACTCTCACTATGTTGTGCAAATCACACATGCTCGAGTTTGCTCAACGAACAATAATGAAAGGGATGCCCATGAGCGTCAAGAGTTGACGGCACTGCTCATTGTGCTCCCGCGTGACGTGCACGAGACGCCGCGAAAACTTTTCCATCTGCTCGGTATCACCTAAAGCAGGTCATTTGAGTGAGCACAGGCACTCATGGAACTGGAGAGGTCCACTCGTAATGACCAGCACACGTGCTCCAGCATGCATGTACCTTGTTCTGTGGCCTCCTCGAGATTGGCCTGGGCCTCTTTGCGCCGAGCACCACGCTTGAGTAGCTCGCCCGACTTCATGGTTGGTGGCTTGCCGTCAAACACGTACCTGCCCGGCTCATGCATAGAATGAGTATGGGGCAAGAAGATTACGTCATTTGCCAGTCCAAGCTGTTGACAAGCACGCACAGGGGCTTGATGCCGTGATTCACCATACGAATGGTTCGATAAAAGAGACCGGACAAGTGACTTGTGGCTTCGCCGGCCTCGTTGACAAGGTTTGAACCTGAGAGCAGTTGCAAGCCAGGCATCAGTCAACCACAACCTCACTGGCTCCGAGATCATGAGCCAAAGATGATCAAACAGCTGCGCACCTTCAGAACGGATGGCAATCAGAAACTGATAGATGCTCATGCTGGCATCGATGGCCACTTTGCGATCTTCACACACACACACAACCCGTCAGCCATTCCATTGCGATCAAGGGATGCACGTTGCCGCCAAAGGGGAGAGTCAAGACATACCAAAGAGATTCTTGATTTCGGTCTCCTTGATGGCATCAGGGGCCTTGTCGGCAATCACCTTGCTCAAGTCGTGGATACCCATCGTGTCCGATTTGGTTTCGACTACCAAGGCCCAAGAAGTCAACCAGCATGAGCAAGGAGAAAGCTGTATCTCAAAAAAAAAAAAAAAAAAAAAAAAAAAGAGCTCCTCTTCAAGACAAGCTCCTCAATTCTTCTTGTCGAGTGATGCTCGGAGTATGCGACCGGCTTGCGCGCACAGGCGTCAGAGGCGCGACGAGACACGTCCCAACATCCAGCCAAAGACGGCACGGCACACACTCACTTACGTTGGTCTCGCGAGACAAGTAACGGTCGGTAGTTGATCCGAGATCCAGTCGTATCGTCACAACTGCAGTTGTAAACGATCATTCTTGCCCCCCAAAAACCCATCCATAAAAACAAATTACTACGTTGTGGTAATTTTTACCTTGCAACGAGCACGGGGAGACGCGCGCACGACGGCGAGATGATGCAGGTGACGGACATGCACTGCCACTATCATGTGGAGGGTGCGATTGCAAGTGGGTTGGAGAAGGTACTTCCGGGGCCGAGAGCCGTGGTTCTGGGGACTCAACCCGAGGACTGGAATGCCTTGGCTGCTTGGGTCCAAGCCTTGCCGGACACCATTGTTCCGGGCTTTGGGCTCCACCCTTGGAACGTGCACCGGTGTTGCCCAGATGAGGACCCAGACTGTCTGGACGCCATCCTGGATAGCTTGGAGCGCTGCCTCCACCGCTATCCACAAGCTTGGGTGGGCGAGATTGGCCTCGATAACCGCGTGGCCAAGCAGCAACCCGACCGCCCCGCTGCCCGTGCACGCCAACGACTGGTTTTTGCCCGACAGCTCGTCCTGGCTCATCGCCTCCAGCGACCCGTCAGCCTTCATAATCTTCATGCAGCTGGTCCCCTTGTTGAGGTTCTTTTAGAACAGCAAGGCGCCTTGCCTCCTGGCATTGTGCTCCACTCATTTTCTGGCTCACCGGAGACGGCTCAGCGTCTCGTGGCTTTGGCTCGCGAAGCTGGGGTCCACATTGCTTTTGGCTTTTCTCGAGCCGTCAACGCCCGGAGCGACCAGTGGCAACACGTGGCTCGCGCCGTAGGTCTCGATGCTCTTGTAGTCGAGTCGGATCGATTGACTCCAGCGCATGCAGCCGACGACTTGACGTGGATGGTGCAGGCCTTGGCTGATCTCTTTGACCTGACCGTCGACGACACGCTACAACGCCTCGAAGCCACTGCCAGCCTATTCTTGGCATTGACCTCCCCGACGCACTCTTGAATAAGACCCACCCCCAAGGGCACTTGACCGCTGCTCAAACACAGCGCTTCCAAAACAGGAACAACAACAGCAGCAAGCTGTAGATGGGTCGGGTCTCGATTGAACGAAAAAAAAACACATGCTCACAAAGGCTCCTGGTGCCTAGACACCACCAGGGCCGATGCGCCTCGGCTGACTCGAGGCCACGAATCCTCTTCTCCTACTCTTCATCCAAGAACTCATCTTCTTGCCCTTGATTCTCCGCGGCATCAGAGGCAGCCAAGAGTTCCTGGGCTTTGTTGTGCCCGACCTGCAAGCCCGCCCAAGCAACACCATGAGGACTGAGCGAGATTGTTAAGCTCGTGATGGCCACCGCCCAAAGAGAAGCGTACAACGCACCTCTGCAAGCAGACTGAGTTGCTTGGAAAGGATGGCCTGGACTGTTTGCAGAACCGGCAATGATAAGCCGTGGATCTCAGAGCGGTCCAGCCAAACGCGATCACGGATGCGCTGTGCCTCTGGCTCAATCTCAAAGTCAAAGTCAAAATCCTGGCCCCAAGACAGCTGCATGAGCTACACGCTAGGTCTGGCTATTCTCCAATCCACGTCACCAGCCGTGACACACGCCCACCTACCTCGACATGGTGGATCACCTTTCGGGCACCATGATCCTGACGCGACATGAACCCCACACTCGACCTAAAAACTCGACGAAAACCAAGAATCAATCGCATCGTTTCTGAGACCATGCGTTCATGACAGACTAAACGGTTTTGAGTTTAGCCCCCGAGCAACCCCATCCCAACCAGGCGACACATACCGGGACAGCATGACCTTGCGGGTGATGCTTTTGAATGTATGCAAAACATCGGCCCGACGCGAATAGGCCTTGGCGTTGGCTTCCACCACCTAAGCATTTGAAGGCAAATTTTCCGCGGCATTCAAAATAAGATCCCGCTTGGACCCAACCCACAATAGACACCGCCAAAGACATAACAACACTGCAACGCATTGAGACACACTGGGACACACACACACACACACACACACACGAAGCAAATACGAACGCTGGCAATTCGGTGGGACTGCAGAAACTCGTGCAAGGTGGCAATGGGAATGGCCAGTACCGTGCACCGCTGGCTATGGCACACCGCGTTGTCTGCCAGGATGCGAGAGCAAAGTCACAGACGGGGCATGAGTGGAAACTTGGACTCAGCACCCACCGAACGTGGATCCGGAGATCGCCACTCACCAATGCGAGGAGTGGGCTCTAGAGTTGTGCTGCCCCCGATGAAGCGAGCAGACAAAACGGCGCCCACGGCATCGCCGCGAAACTTGGTACTCCTGCAACACGCAGCCCCATCAAGACCAGCCGATGAGATGCTTTACCCTGCACCTTCTTCAACAAGCAAATACGTTCCATGATATCCTGCTACCTTTCGTACTTGGTAGGAGTAGAGGGGATTGCAGCGACCGAAGAAAAGATGCTGCCCGAGCTAGCGCGACGCATCGAGCGAGACCTAAGAAAGATACGAGAGATGCACAGGATAAGCTCAAGGCATTGAAGAAACAAGCATCTTCTGATTTGACCCCTTTCGACCAGCATCACTCGGCCAAGAAGGCAAACGCACATTGGCATGTCGTCATCAGCTGCTTCCGTGCTTTGAGCCTCGGTGCTATCGTCGTCTTGTGTCTCCAGCGCTGAATTTTTGAAGACGCGAGCGTCACCACGCCCCAAAAAAAGCCAGGTGTCACCATCATCGCCTTCCCGATAGATGTAGTCATCTTTCTTAAAGCCAAAAGGCAGGGCCACGCGGCTCAGCGTTTGAATGATGGCCTGTGACCGATTCGAGCAACGGATAGCACAGTAATATATGATGACAATCCAATATGCAGTCATGCGCGAGACCCTTCAGCTTTTTCGCATGCAAGCATGGACTGACCTTGCCGACGTTCTTGAAAAGCGGGCTCTTGAGGAGTGCCTGATACATGGCTTCCTGGGCAAGACGCACCTCGGCCAGCTCCTCCAGCTGCCGCCGCTGCATCGGATGGCGCAGGGCCACCCGATCAAAGTCATTCTTGGTTAACACTGCAAAATCACACCTGTCGAGAGGAAAGAAGATCTGAAATGCGTGCGCACGACTTCAAGGGCATTCTAAAGTACGTTTGAGGGATGCATTTGAAAGGTGCGGTTTGTTGCGTACCAGGTGCGGGCGCGCACTGTCAAGCGAAGCTTTTCGCTGGCGAAAAAGGCCAGTTCACCAAAGACTGATCCCTCGCGGGCGACGCCATCTACTTCGTCATCTGCTCCCACAAGCTCCACCTCGCCACGATTGAGCAGAAACATCTCATCGCCATTGCCACCCGCCTCGATGATGATATCACCCGGGGCATAGATGCGCGGCTTCAAATGCTCTGCCAGTGTATTGAGAAACGGCTCGTCGTTCTCAAAAGACTTGAGCAGCCCCACCTGTACCCAGACATGACATGTCCCGTTACCAATCGTCGGAAAGGGCCTCTACTTTGGCGCAAATGGTTCGACTTTCCTGCGAGTCCAACGTACCTTGGACAGCACTTGGCCGCGGGTATGGCGGTGCACTTCGGCTCGCAAGTTGGAAGGCAGGTCCCTAGATGTGATTTATAGCGTCGGATTTTCCAAGTTCATCGTAAGCTGGCTTGCATAACACACTGTCGACCACAAGTTGAAGCGTCAAGGACAAACCGAAGGAGGTCAGGGCTATCAAAGGCACCCTTCCGCGACCACAAGTGCCGAAAGTACTATATGCCATAGATTGAGCAAAAAGGGCCCCCATACCAGCGTTCGTGAGCCACCGCTAGTATGGCACCAATTACGATTGCGGAATGCAAGGATGTGATTGGACCTACCTTGCGAATGCGTGTCTGAACATCGGGTGGCAGGTGGCGCTGCGCCATAAAACTACAAAAACAATCAGGGCATGAACTTGCTGGCTCAGAAGCTCACAGACAAAGTCTGTACTTTCTCTTTGACGCGTTGGAAAAGCCAGCTCGCCATGCTGCTGCTGCTGCTCAAAGTCGAGCAACACCGACCGATTTAAGTGCATGATGCGGCGCCGAAGTTGCTCAGCATTGTGATTGAGGCTCGACATGAAGCCCTCCACGCTGCCAATGACGATGGCAATCAAGAAGATGTGTACAAAGCCAAGAACGATGATAAAAGCGTGCTGCAAATTAGTTTGAGCTCGCGGCGCTATGATCCAGAACAGTCATGAACCATGTCAACGATGAGAATCGGCCGTAACATTGGAAGTTTGAAAAGGCTGAGGAGAAAGGAAGGGGAAAAAGCAATGTGCAAAGCATCCTTACATTCACCGCCGACATCCGTCACACCCTTAACGCCCCAGGCAAAAGCAATATAGTATTGCTGGCCTAGTGATGCGTCCTTGAGGGATTCTGGTGGCGCCCAACCCTGCAGTGCCCGATTAGTTAGTGTGAGGGCAAGGCGCGAGGGCAAGAGTGACCAAACCAAGCGACAGCACTGCGCACAAGCGTCCGAGGCCATTTGCAAACGGCGGCCACAGCATCATCGGAGCTCATGGCCGTACCTCTTCGTCGCCCTCCGGAGTGAAGCCGTCGGAATAGGCAATGGCAATGTAGGCGCAGCCCAGCCAGTGGGAGATGCTCAAGATGCCTACCACGAGCTGCATAGCGGCGATTGGCACGAAACACATCTGAGCGTACAGAGAGAGGGCAAAACACTCAAGAGGTTTTCATAAGATTCCAGACCTTGAGCAGCTCGAGCGTGAGGGCGTAGCGGGTGTTGTGTTGCAGTTCTTGAATGCGTTCCAACACGCGAGGCAGGCGCAAGAACTTGTTCCAGCGCAGCGCCACATGCCTGTAATGAAGATTCAGGGTGGGTCAGCGTCATGCAGAGCTGAGAGGAGCCAGAATTCTTAGCGTGGGGCATCCGCTTGACGTGCGGCACGTACTTCCAGACGGGCTTCCACAGGAAGAGATCAATGGGCAAGCTGGCAAGGATGTCAAACCAGAACCACTGCGAGAGATAATCACGCGCTATCGGATAGAAGGGCGCGGTAAATTCCGAGCCTGGTCTGACATTCAACGGAAGAAGAGTGAAGCGGTGTGACAGGCGCGACTCGCGCGCGTACCAATGTGCCCGCTGTCATAGACCTCGATGCCGTCGTGCATGACAGCACAGCGAAAATTGAAGTATATGTCCACCAAGAAGAGAATATCACCAATGGCATCGATGATGATGAAGATGTCATTGTGGTGGTCAGCCCAAGACTGCTCAAAGGCAGCACGGAAAGGAATGATGAAACAACTGCGTTTCCGCACCCGGCACAGGGGGAGGGGCGAAGATATGACAGGTCAGCCAGACAATCATCATGCATCTTGCTGAACCCAGCGTGAGGGAGCCGCTCGGCAGAACAGGGGCTGATGCACCAAGACGCACTTGTAAATGACAAAGATGGAGACGGCCAGGACGAAAAGCTGGCCAACGAGGTGTGAGGACAGCGGTGGCAAAAGAGTTTCGTCGGAGAAGAGGATGCGTCGCATGTTGGCGGCTACGGATTTGCGACGAGATCGCTCCTCATCTACAGACTGTGCCACCCCACCACCGCAAGCACAGCATGACCGGGGTGCGCCAGCGGAAAAAACAAACGAGCAGCAGCTGAAGCGGGGGTTTCGGGTGAGGCCGGCACCGGGGGTGCGCTTCTACGCACATCGTCCAGCTCTGTGCCCGTAGGCAAAGTGTTGGTGCCCTCATAAGCTGTCAGGACCCTTTGCGACTGCAGACCGGGGGCAATTTCAGCCCAGACCGAGATGAGGATGCGAGACGGGGTTTGAGACGACACACGTGCGTTGGTCGACTTCAGACGGGAGGGGTGCACGTACGGCAAAGGACCCGGTGCTGCGCTTGAGTGTTTCCTCGGCTGATTGACGGCCAGAGACGGTCGTCAACTTGCGATTCAGGGACTTGGTGCGCTGAGACCGGCCCGATCGTACTTGCAACTGCTCGGGAGGCGCCTGGGCCGCCGGCGAGTCATCCTCGGGGTCCCCATTGAGCGAGACTTGCTCTGGGATATCCCCCAATAGCGGTGCCCGCTCCCCCATCGTCACCGTTACCAACTCACACCCTTTGACCGTGACCAATTAGCATCAACCCACCCACACGCCACCCCTGGTAACCCCCGTGCCACCAGACCACACCCGGGACTGCCCCCCGCCCGCCGCCCACTCCCCCGCCAAACCCTCAGAGGCAGGCGTCAAAAGTAGACGAACGCAGTGACGGAATTGGCTTTTTTTTTTCTCTCTCTCTCTCTCTCTCTCAAACTCTCTCAAACTCTCTCAAACTCTCTCAAACTCTCTCAAACTCTCTCAAACTCTCTCAAACTCTCTCAAACTCTCTCAAACTCTCTCAAACTCTCTCAAACTCTCTCAAACTCTCTCAAACTCTCTCAAACTCTCTCAAACTCTCTCAAACTCTCTCAAACTCTCTCAAACTCTCTCAAACTCTCTCAAACTCTCTCAAACTCTCTCAAACTCTCTCAAACTCTCTCAAACTCTCTCAAACTCTCTCAAACTCTCTCAAACTCTCTCAAACTCTTCTGTTTGTCTCTCTCTCTCTCTGTGTCGCATGTGATGTGTGTCAAAGTGTGAATCATCTCACACTTCCGCATAGCAAGCTTTTTTGCGGCCAAAAGAGAGAGAGCGCGCGCGCGCGAGAGAGAGAGAGAGAGAGAGAGATCAAAACGGCAGCTGAATCGCCATCGCTTCGGGGTATGTGCTACGGTGTAGTTGGGTTGGGCGCTGGAGGTGGTGGGGTTGGCTGGTTTGTGTGCGCTGCAACTCATGATGCTGTTGACTGGATGTTGGTAGGCATTGGGGACGTGGGGGCCCGCGGTCACAGCCGACATGGACGCCGTTCACGAACTGATGCACACCCCAGCCCTCGTGGAGGGAACGGGTAACGAGCACCTCTCTCAGGTTGCTGCGGCATTGCAGTCAGGAGACATCTCTCTGCTGCTTCTCGTCGAAAGCCTTGGGTAAGCCTTTTGAGCCCTGCCTTCGTGTTTGGCCACAGGAGAGAAACAGGTTGTATCCCTTGCTGCTCGGTGAACACCATCCCCTTTGTTAATCGAGCCCCCGCCAACCGTGAACGCAGTGCACACTTGACTGGAGATGCCGATGCTCGGGAGCGGGCCACCTTGTTGCTGGCACGTCTGGCAGCAGTTGCTCAGCTTACTCGCAACGACGGTCCGTTTCTACAACAGATACGATTCTGGCAAATTGCCATACTTGTCTACAGTCTCATGGTTTTTGGCGCGTGCGGGTGCTCTCAGGTGTGGTGCTGGCCAAGTTCTTTATGACCCGCATTCAGGACCAACCTTCGACGTTACCAGCCCTCACGGGCTTGAACGAGCTGGTGCGGACCCGCTGCCATTCAATTCTCTCACGCACATTTCAATTCTGTCGTTGTCTGTCCCCGTCCCCTGACACCGACTTGCTGAGGCACCTCGCCATGCATTTCAGTTCATCTTCGTGTCGCGCCGGCGCCTTTTTCTTCCAATCATGTAGCATAAGATGAATAGGACCATTTTCCACGGCATGGCTGCTGAATTAATGACCGATATCATGAAGAACGTGTTCGTACCGGCCCAGGCCCAACCGCTGCGTCACCAATGTTTTTTACTCGATGCTGCCTTGCTAAAGACCCACTTGACAGAGCTCCAGGTCAGCCCGAAGAGCCCCGTCGCACCCTTACTCAACGTCCGGCGCAACTTTCATGACCACCTCATCAACACCTTTGTGTGTTTCATGACCACCTCATCAACACCTTTTGTGTCGGCACCTCCCAGACGCTTGGGCAACAATTCGTGGTGGGCTTTGTGCAACAGATTGATGGCGAAAAGGACCCGCGCTGCTTGACCCAGGCCTTTGACCTCGTTCCGGTCCGTTCATGTCCGCCGCTCTCATTGGTTCCGATCCATTGTCCAGTTTATCAAGCGGACTTTCACTCACTCCTGTCTTGACAAACCACTGTGCTCGTCATCGCCCGCAGTTTGTGGCAAAAACATTTGCCTTGACACCAAACCTTACCACGGCCCTGTTTGAGGCCATTTCATGCTACTTTCCCATCACCTTTCACCCTCCCCCAAACGATCCTTACGGTGCGCCTATCCGGAACGGCCTTGCCAATGCCTCTGGGACCTGCAAAAGAACGTAATGTAGACTGGCTGCAATTTTCCCGGTCCTGACTCATGCGGAGGGCCCCAATGGACTTGTTAGGTATCACCCACGAGGGGCTCGTTGCTGCCCACCAAGCATGCTTGTCGGCACACGATGCATTTGCTGGCCCCACCATTGAACTTGTCCTTGACAAGCTGGGTAGCACCATCGACGAGACCAAGGTAGGAGCCGTACAGCGAGCGTATAGCGAGCGTTCAGCATCCTGTTCCCCCCGGTCGCTTCCCCGGCTCATGCCACTCTCATGCTTTGCATTTGCCCATACCCTTTCCCACCATGCCTGCCTACCTTTTGCCACGTGTCATCATTGTGCGACAGATGCAATGCTTTGAAACGCTTGCGGTCGTTCTACCCCGCTTCACTGTGCTCAAGCTGCTTCCGTACATCAAGTATGGAACAAAAAAAACTCCCCGTCTTGGTTTGCCCTTGTCAACCTGTTGCCTTGTTGCCACAGACCTCATATGCTCGTCTTGCAGCAAATTGTATGCAGCCATCCGTGGTGAAATTTACGCAACGGCTCAGGAAAAGGTCGAACACAGACATACGCCCTCGCTTTCTTAGCTTGTTCGGGCCTTGCCGGCAAAGCGTTCTCGATTTCATCCCGCTGCCCCTTCTCGCAGCTTCAACGTGGTGCAGCCGCCGCGTTGGCGTCGCTGATCCGCACCTTGCAGCAAGACGAGCACGTCGCTGCATCAGGCGAACATGACCCGTTGACCTTGGCCATGTCTGCTATCCTGCGTATGTTGTGATAGTCATGTTATGGCCTGGTATGCAGCGAACAATCGGCACATGGTTTGTCTTGACAGTTCCTGTGTACCACCCCCTAGGTGATGGCAATTCGCTACTCAGCCGAGGCGAAAGCAGTCTGCTTGCTGTTCATGGCAAGCTCATTGTGGCAGCCGCGTTGGCCTCGGCGCGGGCTTGCACCCTCGTTTTTACCGACTACGTTCGCCCAGCCGCCGACGCCCTTATGGTCAGTCACTTGAGAGCCAACACTTTCAAGCCTCAGACGAGCGATTGCCTCGACGCCTGCTTCAAAAATGTTCTTTGCAACGGCCCCTCACCCCTCTGATGTCTTTGTTTGCTCCACCGTGTTGGGAACAAAACAGCAGACCAGCCAAGACTCGATGCGTCGTGCCATTGGTGCCATTTTGGTGGATCTTCTTCGAGCTGGCTCCATGTGTGGACTCGATGAGTCCCAACGTGGGCTTGTCCTGCCCATCGCTCAACAGCTCCAGGACATTATGGCTGGCTTTGCCTTGACCCGCGACGATGGCCTGCTCCAGTCTTATGGCGTCCAAGGTTTGATGCTGCATTGCCGCACCACCATACTTATGTCCACGCCTTCTTTCCCCGACCGTGTGCTGCCTTGATATCCATCCTCCTCGTCAATAATGTTGTTTGGTTGCATGTTTGTTTTGTTGTTCAACTGATATTTCTCCCTCATGCCTTGCTGGTTCTTGTTTTCGTGTCTTCAGGCATGATGCACTTTTGCGAGCTGGAAGGCAACGCCGTGGATGAGCGGCAAGCGGTTGAGACAACCCTGCATGTACTCGATCAAGCCTCTCCAACCGAACCGGTCCGGTACTTTTGGCCCCCAGCTTGATGTCGCCGGAATATCATCTTTGAGCTCGAATCGATCATCAATTGGTGTTTTGCGGCGTAGCTCGTAGCCTTGGAAGCCGCCCTCGAATGCTTGGGCCGCATGTCCCAGCGTAACGCAGCTGTTGTGACTGACCAGCTCTTGCAGCGCCTCGTGGCCTGGGCCACTGGAGACGCCGTCTGGGCACCGATTGTCGCCAAGGTAAACCGGACGTCTAGACCCTTTCTGCTCCCTTGCACAGTCTGTCATGTATCCTCACCATCATTTCGACTACCTGTATTTGTGCACAGCGCTTCCCAGAATTGTTCCTGCATGAAAGCGCCGAGCCCTTTGTTGCGCAAATTTTTAGCACACTATTTTCTGCGCCGGTCCGTTACTGGGGGAGACGATGCCAGCAGTAGAGGCAGGCTGTTTCGCATTGGTTCATTGGCCCTCACTTGCTGTGTCGTGCTTTGTCGTCTTTTTCTTGCAAACCATCGCGGCCCCGCCTTGGCTTTGGTAGACAAGCTCTGCCACTTTGGGACTGCTACAGTCATGCATGGTCGAGGCCAGCAAGCATGGTGCTCTGGTGCAATCACTCTTGCCAGACCTGTTTCAACGCCTCATCGAGGCAGCGTGCGCAGCTGAAACGCTGGGCGCTTCTCCACAGAACCCCCTTTGCCTGGGTCTGGCTGCTCTCGTGGCGGTGCGATCCCGTGCCTTGCCTGGTTTTGACATGCTTGTGCAAAGAATGCGAACCAAAGGTTTCTCATCCTGGCGTCTGTTCCCCAGCAAGCCTCCCAGGAGCTGCAGTTCAGCCTTCTAGCCAAAGCACTCGATGAATTGTTGCAGGGTACGCCCCCGACTTTTTATTCACTCCTCTGTTGGCCCGCCAAGCGATCGTTCTCATTCTTCCGATGCCGGCTCATCTGGCCACGTAGGGAATGCCCAAAGTCACCCACTGTGCCATGCTGTCATCTGCAACTTGACACGGTACGCGCAGCCGTGTGTGAAATCTATATCCCTGGGCACGCGGGCAGTTAGAGTCGGGCAGGCTGAGTAGGGCAGGTCAAGTTGGGCAGGTCGAGTTGAGTGGCCCTTATACTGCGCTTTTCACTGAAACAAACACTCGTTGGCCACATACCACCCACAGCGAGGTGAGCCCGGCTCTCAAACAAGAGGCGCCCTTGGTTCAGCGCGTGCTGGCTGAGGTGGCAAAGTGCTCGGACGATGAGGCTGCACTACGGGCGGCAGCACCGCTGGCCACACTGCTGAACAAAAATCCAGATGCTCTGCCCTACGCTGAGCTGGAAGCGATGGTGCAATCTTGTACGTACCTCTTCGCAATCAAGCAGCTCCTGGTGTCAATTTGTGCGTGGAGCATGCTGGGAAATTCATGACCCCTTTGCTTGGATACAGCACCTCGACCCGGCGTGATGAGCGCCATTGTGTACAAAGCCTTGGCCACCCAGCATCACTCCTCCACAACAGCCGCTCGCCAACAGTTTGTGACACTGGCAGTACAGGGCACTTTGCAGGTACGTGGAGCTAGATGCCTGACCTTGATTCACTTGCGCCCGCAAGAGCCTGTCTCAACTGAGCCCTATGCCCGATGCATGCGTTTGGGTCCTCAGATGAGCTTGGGCACTTTGCTGGGCTTCATTTTGGAGGATGATGGTTGGCGCTTCTCCCGACAAGGCCATTGCGTGGTGCGCCTCTTGTACAAGCAGCGGGTATCGCAAGAGCTCTTGCCTGCACTGATCGAGGTAGGTCACTGGCCTGGCATCCCCAAGACCCCTTGATACAACCAGCACGGAAGCTGGAGCAGAAAATGCAGCCCTTGTCCTACCACATCAGAAGCAGCTTTGCTTCGTTTGACTAGCGCCATTTGCATGCGCCATTGAACCTGACGCGTGTGCTACGCCTGCATGCGCACATGAACTGGCGGTTGGCTAGGCCCACGGCACTTTGACGGCCGAGGGTCGCAGCAACGTTCTGCAAGGACTGGCCAGCATTCTGGAAGGCGCATCGGCCCAATTCATCTCTGGCCAGGCCGGAAACATCTTACCCTTGATTCTCAAGGGCGTCAGCGAGCCTGATGCAACCTTGGTAGAAGCGTCTCTGCGTGCATTGCAGCGCATCATGCGTAGCACTCCTGCCGCCGTGGACACGCACACGCATGATGTCATCACCCGGCTATTGAGCCTGGTGCAACCCCAGGTGCGCTGCAAACTCAAGATATTTCCGCTTGTTCGCCTCAAAGATCTGACCCTGAAATGCATGATTGCTCACGCCACGGCCGTTTGCATTGGCTTCAAATGCCTTAGCAACCGCTTCCTGTTCGCTTGGCGGCTGTTCAGGCTTTGGCACAAGTGGCCGAGCTGGATGCCATCAAGGTAGCGCGCATCCAACCTGCTTTGCCTGGCGCTTGTTCATACGTGGCCCCACTGATACCTGCCCTGCTTGATGACCAGCTGATGCCTGATGCGCGAGTTGTGATTCGCCAACTGCAAGTTTGCTTGAACGATCGGAAGCGCGTGGTTCGCAATGCCGCCGTCAAGTGCCGAAGCATTTGGTACGCCTGTCCCCAGCTCGTGGTTCGCTACACCTGGTCCTTTGCTCATGTGTGTGCGTGTCTTTTTGTTCCGTTTGCGATGCAGGATTGCCAAGTGTGGCTAGCTTGCCACTGATGTCAACCAAGCAAGGAATGCCAATTTGACAAAGGCTGCTGGGCTTTAAGAACTGTTGACAAATGTAGTGTGATTTGTTTTGCCTGCAATTTAAACAGATGCAGAGTGCTTCTTTGAAAGGACTGTGAATCCGTCAAACTGAAAGGCCGCAGTGCAAACGACACGAAAAATCAATCAGCAATGCGAGTGCCAAGGGAAAAAGGCTAGATCTACACGTCGAGTGAAAGGCGAGGACGCACGGCATCATCGCCCTCCAAAGCCTTGGTTCACGCGCATTAGTTCATGTGGAACCCCTTCGTTGTGATGGCCACTAGCAAGCGTTCGCGCAAGAGCTCGGCACTGCTGTATTCAGGCAGCTTGACGTAGTGGGCGCATGTATTGACGGAAGGAAACATGTCATCCTCTGCACCGGTTTCCGCCAACTTGCGCACGATGGTCATTTGTGGGTGCAGGTTCTTGATGCCACCCGGTGGCAAGCTCGGACACCCTGTGGCAAATTGCAAAAAGGCCTGTGGCAATATTCAAGACGAGCAGCTATGAGCCGTTGCGCGTATGCAGCGCTGGCAGTAATTTCAGCTCGGTTCGCGCAGAATGAAGTCATACCTTGCGCTGGTCTTGGGTCAGCTCAGTCAAGACGCGAAGGAAATTCAGATACCCCTTGCTATCCGTGTGGTAGCCGTGGCGCGGCAGGGTGTTGGTCACAAGCTCATCGAAGCTCCAATCGACTGTCTGGTCACCGCACAGCACGTGTGGGATCTTGGGAGGCAAGCAATGGAATGAGTTGTTGGCTGAAGAGATGAGTGCCATACTTGGCGCTGACCATGGCGAGCGATGCTCACATAGCCCATCTCACTCAAGCATACCTCGTCGGCAGTAAAGCTACCCAGTTTCTCAATGGGAAACACGGAATTAAAGCCGTCACGAAGGGCCTCGAGCTGGCGGGCCACACCCTCGCGCAGCACAAAAGCCGTCAGTCGCTCAATGTACTCGCTTAGATTATGGAGTGCCACGTCTTCATCTTCGCCGTTCGGCCTGCGTAACAATGATGGCCATCATGACGATAAAGCGGGCACCACCGGGTGTGAGTGGGGCCCGAAATAAACAAATCCTCCGTGACAAAACGTTGGCCCAAGACGCAGAACAAGCCGCGAAGAAGTGTGCTACCTAAGAGGAATCTCTGCAAGGCCAAAAACAGTGGACGAGGGCGAGTACACCATGCTCAAGCTCAAGTCGCTGACGCGCACGGCCGTGTCTGTGTGTGTACATGCAACACAATTGCGGTGAGTCCGTGCCAATTTGACACTGCCAGAGAATATCAAACATTGTAAAAGGCAAGGAGACCGAACGCACTTGTGTCAGGCCACATGAATGTCAGCTCTTCGTATGCAGCGTCACGTTCCTCCGTATCCCCTTCACATTCAGCGTCGATCAATCGCTTTTGCGCAGCCACGCCCTGTTCCTCGGCCGATCGGTGAATGCACAATTCGAACAATTGGATGCTCGTGCACATTGTGCTGAAAGCAGATGCAGTCTCCATGTCTGAGGAGAGACAAACACATACCTCCAGGACACGAAGCGTCGTAGCGAGCTCAGGCGCTACGTCATAGAGATCGCTAAAGACAAGCTCCTTGCCCACCAACAGCTTGCAGAAAGAGCGGGAAAGCGGCAAATCGATGCGCCGGTCGTCCTGAAGCATGGCAAACATGGGAGAAGAGCTATTAAGATACGACGAAAGCGACATGACAGACCAGCCTCAACGTTTTATGTTGCTGTTCCACTTTTCGTTCATCTTCTCGAAATTGCTCGAAACCAAGACAATGTTCAAAAGAAAGGAACAAACCTGCAGTGCCTTGGCCAAGAAGATGCCCAATACGAAGAAGCGCTCACACACGGAATCAATCAGCTTGCCCGTCTGCGGTAGCGGTGCGGGAAAGAGACCGTTGCTGCGTTGTACATAGTAGCCAGGCGGCTTGTCTATAATGTACGTGGCCCAGCAAGCAATCACCACGACAAGCAGTGCGAATCAAACAGTGAGCGGTCATGCCGGCCAGCCTGTGATGTACTTTTTTTTTTTTTTTTCTTCATAAAAAAAAAAAAAAGAAGAAGAAGAAAACATCATCCCATGAAGCACTTTGGGGCACTGCGGCCTTTTGGCAGTTGTTAGACGGGTGGGCAAGCATACGTACTGCCCGTGCCGAGATCAACGGTGCGAGCTGATGCGCCAAGCGCATCTTCGCAAATCCAAAGGCAAAGGTCTTTGCGTTGCAGTTCCGATGCCATGAGCGAGTAAAACTCAAGGGTTGGACCTAAACCGGTACCTTCTTCGCCTTCAAACTCCACTTCAAGAATGGATTTGTGGTCTGCGTGCAGGCGAAAGGCATTGCACGCCCATTCAAAGAAGTTGTCGCCGCGCTGCAGGACAACGCGCTCGTGTGTAAGACGGCCGATGCGATGCTCAGCGGCATCTTGTCGACCGCGCGCATCGTCCTGTCGGGACTGGATCCAAGCAATGGCGCGAGACACGCCAAAGGCCGTGCAGCTAAAGTAAAGCTGGCGCGCTTCAAGTGGAAAGAGAACTGGACAACGCGTCGTCAACTCCTCGCACCACTCGGGCAAGGCCTCCGAAGCCAGGACGATGGGATCCATCAACTGCTGGCGCAGCTTTGAGGTCAGGCGATGGCTCACAAAGTCAGCCTTGTCCACGTTCAGGGCAAAAGTATCCGTCGCGGCCTCTCCGGCACCCGAGAACTCCTCCACCACGGCCGCCTGCATCATGTCATAGAGGAATTCAATCAGCTGCAACGCCGGGGTGGTCGTGTCGTCGGCAACCGCCACTGAGGTGGCGGCCAGCAAAGCTTCGGCGTTGAAGGCAGATACATTAAGTGGTGGTGGGCGGGGGGCGTCTGGATCAACGGCATCCTCGCCTTGTGTGCGAGTCTGCAAAAAGTCTTTAAAGGCAGCTACCACTTGCTTGATGGACCAACCCTTGACCTGTTGGCTCGTGAGCTGGTCGTTGAGGTTCCACAGCCTCAACCAGGCCACGCTTGCCTTGCTCTGCAGGTATGCAAACACATCCGCGCGCTTAAGTTCGCCCGCCTCCAGCCGTGCTCGTACTGACTGGAGATCCCAACCATCCTATGCGACGGGGGCATGCAGTGAGGGAGCAAACCACATTCGCCCAACCATGCATGCCGGAATTTCACACGTAGCCGAGTCACCAATGCATGCGATTGTCTTGGGGAGGGGGGGGGGATAAACAAGAGGAACTATAGAAGCAGCAAGATACAAAATACCTCATCCATCGCTTCGGGAGCCACGCTCTCGCTGCGATACACGATCGTGTAAGTGGGCTCCCACGTGCGCTTCAAACGGTCGGATGAATTGTCTGCGTCAAACGAACCAAAACCAGCAGGCGTGAGGCAAAGGGCTGTCGAAGACTGGTTCCACAGGCTAAGTTGACCCAGCGACCCAGCGACCCACGTACCACGGCCCCAATGACGCTGGATGGCGCGGAAGATGGTCGAGTCAGATGGCAAACGGTGCATGTGATCCGGAGTCAAATTCCTGGCAAGGAAAAAAAAAAAGTGAGCGTGAATGCATGCGGTTTTTTTTTGTTTGGTATCGTTTTCGGCCAAAAACCAGGGAGACAACAGGAGAGGCTCAGTGTGATAATATATTTTACAGAGATTTTTGCTCTTTGCCTCAAACCCGAAATGCGCGAAAACTCACTCGCGGAGTGTCTCGGGGTCTCCATTTGCTTCCGAATCAACCAAAAACAGACAGATGCGCTGCTCTTGTCGGCGGCGCATGGTTCGCGCCGCGAAAGAATCTGTGGGCGAGCCTGGGGGAGGCACGCGAAGATCGGTTGTGGCCGACACGTTGTGGCGGCCGGGACGAGGATCAAAGGCTGGAACAAGCGCAGAAAATTGGCGCTTCAACACAAAATTCTCATCCCAGGACAGCTCACGCGTGCGAGGAGATGCTGCAATAGTATCCCGCTTCCGCATCAGCTCAAGCAACCGCCGATGTGCGCCTAAACGGGATGGCGTGCTCATGGGGAAGGCGTCATGCGCAAAGCCGGCCTCAAGGTCCCTTAGTCCCTCCAGCACGGAATCTTCCTCCATATGACCCGAGGTCGTAGCCATGGCTGCACTGCGCGGTGCACCAAACACATGGGCGAGCGCCCCGTAGCTATCCTCGCCACTATCCATGGCATCGTCCTCATCGTCATCATCGTCGTCATCGTCGTCGTCGTCGTCATCGTCGCCATCGTCATCCATGCCCTCACCGTCCGCTGACATATCAAACACCATGTCCTGAGGCGCTCGCGATGATACAACAACACACACAACCGGTCGCGGGAGTCAGATTGAATACAAAGTCTCCTTCTCATAATTCTAACACATAACTTCATGTCAGCAAAGCACTGGGCCAAATCAACAAAAACCTCACCTGTACGAGTGCGTCCGCTACGGTGGACATCTGATGAATCCAGCAGGCAGGTATTCAAGAGTAAGTACCTCGTCCGCACATAGGAGAGCAGCCTCTGGCCCCTCCAGCAGCGTCTAATCGACATGCTCATCCCAGACTTACCTCTGTTGTTTCCTGTGCCGGATCACTGGCAGCACCAGTGGCGGTAGCTGCCTCATGGCTGGACGCTGCAGGCGCTGTTCTCATGTCGGAATCATCTGGAGCATCGTTATGAGCCTCATCATCAAGTGGCAAGAGATCATACTTGTCGTCCGCACCCACGCGATACGAGTTGCTGCAGCCAGCATCCCACTTGACGTCGATCCAGCCATTACGGGGCAAGCCCGTCACAGTGCCGGGTCCCGGGGGGTCACCATCCTGATTGCCCCACTTCCAGCAGGGACCGCGCTTGACACGCGTCCCGATTTTGAATTTGGCGGCTGCTTTCTTTGCATGGCGCTGGAGAGCATACACTTTGCGCTCTTCGCGCAATACGGCTTTGGCAAAAGAAACCTCGCTGGCGCCGGTGATGGTGCCGTAGAGCTCAAAGCCAGAGCAGGAGAGGTAATGCGTGTTGCTATTGGCCGTCGGCCCTCGCATAAAGATGCGAAAGTGCCGCCATCCTGTTGCATGTTCGGGTGCTGAGACCTCAAAGGTAGCTGTTGAGCCAGGCTCATCCAAGGCAGTGTCGCCACGATGCTCACGGATGGTTGTCCACGTGTCGCCGTCCTCAGACACCTACGCAATGGGGAAGGGGGTGGGGGTGGGTGGCAGGCATTGAGAAGCGCTCGCGTCACTCGATGGATAGGTTGAGCGTGGGCTTATGGATTGAAGAGGTGTGTGCAAGTCGAAAAAAAAAAAAAAAAGCCGGTGTCTCCTGAGCATGGCTTGACTGCATAGAGAAAGAATGACTGGAAGGTGTCTGACACATCAACCATTACCTGAAAATCCCAGTCACGGAGGGCGCTGCGGTGGTAGCCCCGTGCATGTCGCAGCGTATAACAGGTTGGCTTCACATAGATGCCCAAGTCAATGGAAAACCAAGAGTCCTGTGGCCCGTCAATTCCGGGTCAAAAACAGTGAGCAGGAAAAGAGAAGATAAAAGACAAAGAAAGAAAGAAAGGAAGGAAGCCACAACATTGGTGCAGGCGCCATGACAGCATCTCATCAAGCAGGAAGACAGGTGGCGTGCCCAGCCCAGTGTATACCTCTTTGTTGGCTGTGTGGCAGTTGCGTGGAGAGCTGTCGCGACTGAGCAGATCGTGCACAGTGCCGTACGGAAGCTGCCAGGGCATTTCCATGATAAAAGTGAGTCCGTGAGCAAGGTGAGCAAGAGACACCTCGGTGGGTGGCGCTTGCTAGCGCCTGCGGAATGAGTACGGGCAGAACAAGCTGCATACCTTGCGGCCACACGAGGTATTGATGAAAACGAGAGCCACCTTGCTGGGATTGATCCAGTTGGCGGTCAAGCCATTGGTTCCGATCCAGTAAAGAACGCCTTGTTCATCGAAATCGCTCTGATAGGTGCAAACAACACGCTCGCCGCCCACCAGTCGTTGTACAAAGGAGATCTCAGGCCGCGGAAAGTCGCACCACTGCTTCTGGACCTTGGGCTCAAGAAAGTCAATCAGCGACTGCACCGTCGCGAGTGGCTCCATCTGTGACACAGCGCCCAACACGGTACAAGTCAGGCAAAGCGCAAAGTGACGGCGATACAGAAGTTGACCGGCGCCGTGTCCAGCCCTTGCAACTTTGCGTTGCGATCTGGGCTGGGCCGACCGAGCAGCACGAGATCATAATACAATAAAACAAGGCAAAGCCCAATCACCTTGAAAGCGTTGCCAGTCAAGTCCAGCAGTGTCTCGTCTCGCGGGTCCCTCAGCAACTTAAACTTGAGCCGCTTTTGCAGCACCTGAAGACCATGTCCACTCCCAGGACTGCCATCCAACATTACAGCAAGGCATCAAGACAAGAAGCGAAGAATGAGTGAGGGCAGAGTGAGGGCTAGAATACATGAAAAAAAAAGGCATGAACAGAAAGTGAAAGCAGCCGGGCTGCGAGGCGTTGGGTTTGAAGCAAAGCAGCTTCCTGCTTGCATTGCTCCTTTAGGCTACCACGTGTGATTGGTCAAACTGAGCTGACCGCGGCTTGCGCACCTTTCGTGAAGAAGAATTGGAAGGGACTCAGTGTGCTCCAGCACGTCAATCACCTTGAGCACTAGCGTACGCAAAGGATTGCGTTCCGGGGCCACATCCACCGGCACCGCAAACGCCAGCTTGAACAACTCGCAGCGCATCTGTGTTGATTGTTGGTTTCGGATTTGAACAGCGAGCGCGGCATAAGCGCCGAGTTGAGGAGCGCCAAAATGAGCAAAATTCAAGACCAGCACCCTTCAGATGGAGACGTACGTTACGGTCGGCAGCAGCATCCACGCGCGATACAGCCATGTCTTGAGACTCGTGTTGCAAGAAGAACAACAGATTCTGCGCGTCGGCAAATTCCAACAGTCGAGATGACGAGAGGGCGATACAAGACGGTTGGACAGCACAACGCTGGCCACGTGTGGTAGATAGCAACGATGCAACGGATGGACTGATCGCGTACCGGAACTAGCTTAGCTTGCAGCAGCTCAAAGGCGGAGATGGATTCGTCCAAAAGCAGGGTGCGAAGATTGGCCAGGCACGCCTGCATGTCGACTTTGCGTTGAAGAGCCATTTGCGAATTGACGGAAAGCTGCCGGTCGAGGGCAAAAGTCATGCCCAGACTATCGTGCATGCTGGCTTGTGGGCTTGAAGGTTCGGCAGGCGTGACGCAGCCATTGGGCGTGGCCTTGGTCATGGTGACGAGGCGGTTACCAAGCTGCTGCAGGCGCTTGACCACGGCGCGCATTGAGTCGGCATCACTGAAGTAGGCTTCGCAGATGGCGGCCGCAATGCCGTAGGCTTCGCGCCGCTTTCGAGCGTCCTTTTCTTTGACAGCGGTGGCACGGTCAAAGGCTTCGGCAGGAATGGACTGAGCTGCGGTGGCCTCGAGGTAGGCCTGCCATGACGATGGTGTAGCGCCGTCAACCTCGGGCAGTTGCAGGGTCTGGCCTCGCGCCTGGCTCATGCCCAGGGGTCGGACGGCATCGGACATGGGCCGCGTCCAAAAGTCATGCTCCTGGTGCTCACTGCCGTCGAGACGGACGTGCCACGAATCGTAGAGGGCTGAGTTGGTTGCGAGGAGTGTCGCCGCGTAGAAGCCACCCAAGGTCGGGTGACGGGCTTCAAGCTTCATGCCGGGTTGGGCCACGGAAACGGGCTCCGTTTCGGTGGCCTGCTTGGCGGCCAGCTGTTGTAGCAACGGCACGATACCCAAGCGTAGGAGATGGTCCCGAACACGATCGTCAAGGCGCGACATGAGCGTTTGCAGAAAGGTGGTGGCCTGATGCAAGTGCCAACCATTGTCCTGCTGCAGAATGTCGGGCAGTGGGATGATGGCCTGCTCGAGGGCCAGGGCCTCTGATTGAGCCAGGGCCTCCAGCATGGGCTTGGGGATGGTCGTGGCCACCTTGTTCAGTTGGCGTAGAAGCGATGACTGCAAGGCCGCGTCTTGCACACTCGAAACGGCTTGGCAGACAACAGGCAACATGCCCTCCAAAAAGGCCTGGGCCGTATCCGGATGCTCGTGAAAGCCGGAAAAGGCGGCAGCTTCTTCCCGCCCGGTGCCTGAGACGGCTGTGCCAGTAGGGCCTGCGCTGGAGGTGTGCTCCGAGTCCGCGCGTGTGCGGGAAGATGCGCCGATGACCAAGGCATCAGATCCACCGGCGGGGCGGGCCACCTCAGCCTCCTGGTCCTCCTCTTCCTCGTCCTCGTCCTCATCGTCGCCGTCGCGGTGGGCCTCGGGATTTTCTAGCAGAGCAACGCATTCGCCATGCGCGTCATCCGGTTTCTCGCGAGCGCGCTCAAGCGCGGTTTTGCCGGCATCGTCGTGGAGCTCGGTGCTGGCATTGTAGCGGAGAAGGAGACGCACAATCTGGGGTCGCCCAAAGGAGGCTGCGTAGTGTAGAGACGACGAGCGTTCGCCCCGGTCGGGATCGGCGCCGCTCTCACACAGAAACTCGACCATGTCGTTGGTACCAAAGGCCGAGGCCCAGTTGAGGAGAGTTTGCCCGACCTCATCGGTCGAATTGGGGTCAATGCCACCCTCCACCGCCTCCAGCACGGCACCCGTGTCCTTGTTACGGATGTGCTCAATGACGGAGCGGAGGCTGGCATCGCGGCCTCCAAGCGCAATGACACGCTTTTGCCGCAGCTTTTGAAGCGCGCCCCGACCTTCCAAGAGGACAACAAACAGAAGCTCAACAAGATCGATGGCATCGGCTGCCAGGCGGTCGTTGCGGCACAGGCAGGCTGCCACGGCAGTGGGCAGAATGGGCGAAGCCTGCAGGAGCCGGGTCACTTGAGGCGAAGCGCGGGCGAGAGCCAGAAGAAGACCGACGATGGTGCGGGCCTGTGGCACATCGGAATCACTGCCAGGCCCAACGGCTGAGCTATCAAGGTCGGGCTGGGGCGCCGAGCGATTCAGAAGCTCGATAAGGATGGTGACCATGCCACTGCCGACCAGAATATCAAAGTCGGCATTCTCGCGCTGAAATTTGTCAACGATGGCGGCCAGACATGGCAGGACACGTGGCACAAAGTCGGGGTCCTCGTTGAGCAGGAGGGTAAAGTGGGCAATGGCGTCAGCGACAAAGGCATCAGCCGCAGACAGGCGGCTGCAGCACTTGGTAACGACCGACATGGCCGAGTTGATGGCGTCCTTAAAGACAATCTCCTTTCCAGTCATGACAAAGGTGAGGCAGCTGCGCAGAGCCCCAGCCTGGTAGACGGCGTCTGCATCTCGATTCGAAATGAGCTCGAGAACCTAGCAGCATGCCCGGATTTGGGCAGAGTGACGCGTGCGAGAGAGGTGGCTTTTGAGCGGGAACGAGCCAAGGTCCAGGTGGGGCGAAGAAGAGGCTTCACGAGGGGAGACGAAGGTACCTTGATGCATTGAATAGCCAGGTCACGGCTGCTGGGTTGAAGGAGCTCGGCACAGCCCAACCGCTGGCAGATGTTGGCGACAGCGCCTTCCTCACCCACCACACGACGTGCACAATCACCAGAGACATCAAGGTAAAAGGTCAGCGCACGCATGGTGGCTTCGAGAATGTTGATGGGGCAATCGTCATTGCGCAGTACGTTGCAGAGTGCGGGAATGAAGCGGCGGGGTGGACATCTAACAGTCAGGAGCGCGGCGGGGTGAAAGCCGGGCAGATTTGGGGTTTGGCTGATTCGGAACAAAGCAAGTGATGGTAAAGCAAGTGGTTGTAGGGGGAGAGGGCAGGGCCTGTGATCGGGACGCACTGTTCGAAGACACGATCCACGTTGTCAGAGAGCAGCAGGAGCATACAGAGCTGCTCCAAAGCGATCAGCTGAGTGTCACCCGGCAGGCTCAACCACTCGAGCAGGGTGTCGGGATCGACCTCCATGCTCGATGGTGCTGCTCGCCTGGGTGGTGTGGTGTGACCGTCAAGGGCAGAACTCTTCCAGAACTGAAGGTCTATCGGAGGCACGGCACAGGGGTGCCCCGGAAAGCAATCTGAGTGAGGTAACTGGGGCCCCAGTGAAAGTAGCAGTCCAATATAGGCGTGCGCTGAATGCTATGCGAGTCGCTTCGCTTTCCCACATACCACGGTCGGCTGTGCAAGGCTGTGCGCGACCAGAGAGGCTCACGATCCAACGTGCGGGCTTGAGCGTGAGTGCGCGTGCAACCGCACGCGGGCATGGACGGGGAGGCCAGATGAAAGCACGAGTGGGAGCTCTTCGCTCGCATCCAGTATGCTGCGGTGGCGCGGGCACGACCAGCCATGAACACAAGCAGAACCAGAATGCACCCTGCCACCCGAACGTGCCTGCCACAATCCACCTCACTATCCCGCCTCGCTAACCCGCCCCAGGCGTGGCTTTGAATCCCCCTCCCCTCGCACCTTCCCGCCTTCCCGCGTTCCCGCCACCGCCACCGCCACCGACGACGACGACGAGAGAGAGAGAGAGAGAGAGAGAGCAACGGGTACCTTTTGTTGGTATAGTTATTGCAGCAGTTTTTGGACTTGTTGTTGCATTCTGCACGGAAGAGTAGAAAAACGCACAGTACTGCTTTACCACTTGTTGTTGGTGTACAGCGGCTTACATGGACCATTTAGCTGCTGTGTGGTGGTGTAATGTGAACACAGTGACACTTGCTACAGTTACTGTTGTTACCGCTGCTTCCGGCTGCTTCCTTACTGCTTTACTGCTTACTGCTTACTGCTTTACTACTGCTGCTGCTGCTGTTGGCTATGGAAGCGTAAAGCTGGGACGACGAGGTAGCAGGGGGACAGGGCTGGCTACTACGGTTGGGCTTTGCTGGGATCAGAGGAGCAAAGGCCTTTTCTGGTTTGTTTGCTAGTTTGTGATTCTGGCAGAGTGAGATGAAGGGGCGGCAACTCGACCTTGATGGCTGGCGGCTGGCCTGTGATGGCGATCTCCAATAGCAAGTACGCAAAGCTCGTTCGAACGACAATGAAAAGCGTAAATGTACGGCCGCCTGGATCAGGTAGACTGGTCCAACCAGCGCCTCTGTCGTCACTGCCACCTATCAGTCATAGCATGCCCCTCAACCGGTCGTGCGCGACGCGATGCCACTTTCCTTTCCCCCGCGCGCCTGCTCGTTTGGTGCACCGCCATCACCCACCAAGCCGAGAGGAGGGGTCAAACATGACTCGTCATCTACATCCTGACCCCAATCACCTCCCTCAGATGGACACAAAACCTCAGTGACGTGTCTCTCCCTCTCTCTCTCCCTCTCTCCCTCTCTACGACTCAAAGTGTGATGAATAGATACACTTTAAAGTCCTCTCTCTCGTAGTAGCAAACACAAAGGTAAGCCAAACCAACGAAACAAAGCAAAGTCAAGCGCAACACGACAATCCAACTCAGTGGCTTAGTGGCTTAGTCGTTTTCTTCGTCTTTTTTGACTTGCTTGTCTACACAAGGTTGGTGCATCACTGAGAAATGGCAGCGCGCACTGTAGATGTGCAATGTATAGTGCTGTGCTCGTCATTCCCAAGGTTGTCGCCCGTCAGCACTGGTCTGCTCCTGTACAAGTGGTGCTTCCTTGTGCTCGAGAGGCGGGGTAGAGGCGGGAGATCAAGATGCAAATTTGAAACAGAGCTCGCTTGACACGACTACTGTCGCTGGCTCAACCCCGCGGACAGCGTCACACACCACTGCTCGATGCCCTCACCGTTGAACGGGATCGCATGGCTTGGTCCCAGCTTGGCCTGCTTCTCACATTGGTTCTCTGGTGTTGGTTGCTCCCGGATCCATTCTTCCCCTCCCGCCTGAATGTCCCAATCGTGGCGCCAATTTAGATCATCAGGATGAAGGCTTTAATTCTTGTCGGCGGCTTTGGCACTCGCCTCCGCCCCCTTACCCTCTCCCTGCCCAAGCCCCTGGTTCCTTTTGCCAATTTGCCCATGGTCATGCATCAGGTTTGTCTTCCTTCCTTCGCAAGACCTTGCTGTTCAGCCAAGCCCAAGGCGAAGCACTCGAATATTCAAAATTCCCGCCACCTGACCCAACTGATATTTTAGGTGGAGGCGTTGGTCAAGGCCGGTGTGGACCACGTCGTTCTGGCCGTCAACTACCGCGCTGAGATCATGCAGGACGAGATCAAAAAGCATGCCGAGCGTGTACGATCCTCTCGTCTTGCGCTGCAATGATTCTCGTTTCTGCTCTTGTCTGCATACTTGTGGCGCTCATATGCTCTTGACCATACTATCACTTGCTTCGGTTAGCTTGGCATCCAGATTTCCATCTCACAAGAGCCTGAACCTTTGGGCACTGGTCAGTGGTTTGAACCGCCCATAGTCTCTCAATCCTCCCGTTTTTTCTCGTCCCAAAATCTCCATTCCTCTTGTTCTCTTTTTTTTTTTTTTTTTTTTTTTTTTTTTTTTTTTTGTGCTTGGCCTCATGTACGGTTTTTTTTTTGTTTTTTGTTTTTTTTGTTTGTTTTTTTTTTTGTGCTTGGCCTCATGTACGGTTTGCACCACTTTAGCTGGCCCTCTCAAGCTGGCCGAGTCCATCCTGCGCGATGGTGAGCCTTTTTTTGTCCTCAACTCGGACGTCATCTGCCAGTTCCCCTTCAAGGAGCTGGTTGCCTTTCACAAAGCCCATGGCAAGGAGGGTACCATCCTGGTGAGTATCATCATGTGTCCCTGTCCCGTGGACGATTTCCCCGATCTTGCTCGTAAATCCCTGGCATCCGCAACCGTACCTGATACATTGTTGCCCGTTTCTAACAGGTGACCAAGGTGGAAGAGCCCAGCAAGTATGGTGTTGTCGTCTCAGACAAAGATACGGGCTGCATCGAGCGCTTTGTCGAGAAGCCCAAGATTTTCGTCGGCAACCGCATCAACGCAGGTCTCTACATCTTCAACCCGGAGATCCTGGACCGCATCGAGGTGGGTCTGCCCGCGTCTGCGTGCTGATTGTCTTCCTTGAACTTCCCGACCGAAAGTCTTGAAGCTCTGGCCATGCCATCTCGCAACCCGCGCCAGCTTTTCTTTGGCCCTTGCCGCGTTGCTGCGTGACCTCCTCTTTTCTTGCCGCAATTGGCGCTGCTTGGGGTTTGGCTGACTGCTTTTGCTTGTTGCTTTACTTTTGCAGCCACGCCCGACGTCGATTGAAAAGGAGATTTTCCCTGCTATGGCCGAGACGCAAAACCTTTATGCAATGGACCTGCCCGGCTTTTGGATGGATGTGGGTCAGCCCCCGGACTACCTGAAGGGCATGGTCCTCTACCTCAACTCGGTATTAGAAAATGAGCCTGCAAAGGTTACACCAACCAGCACCAACGGCACCGAGTTTATTGGCCCCGTTCTGGTGCATCCCACCGCTACTATTGGTGCCAACTGCAAGATTGGCCCCAACGTGGTTGTCGGCCCCAACGTCACCGTGGGTGAGGGCGTGCGCCTCCAGCGCTGCACGCTCATGGAGGACGTGCGCGTCAAGAGCCATGCGTGGATCGAGTCTTGCATTATTGGCTGGCGCTCCACTGTTGGTGAATGGGTACGTCATGGCCCAAATGCAATTCTCGACGCAAATATCCATCATAAAGCTCGAGGCTGTGCCCGATCACAAACTCTGTGCTTGTTGGATGCTACATCCGCACATCTCACTTTCTTTTCCTTCTCACGGGCCCTTGCGTGCACACGCGTTGGCTTTGATCGCTTCTATTGTGATAGGCTCGCATGGAGGGTGTCTGCGTCCTGGGCGAGGATGTCGAGGTCAAGGACGAGCTGCACCTCAACGGCGCGCGCGTCTTGCCTCACAAGTCAATCTCGGCCAGCGTGCACGAGCCGACTATTATCATGTAGACCAATGCGTTCCTACCCACCCGAAACCAACCAGCCCGCACGCTGCTTGTGAGCCGAACTGCGTCTTGCTATTCAATCGAGAGTTTTGTTTTGTTTTTTCTTTGTTTTGTTTGTTTCCGATCTATTTTTTTTTTTTTTTTGCTGGTTTACTCCAACAGTGCCAGCAACACCCCTGGTCTGAGGGCCACCCAAAGTCAGTTGCCCTGAGAGAGAGGGGGAGGGGGGGGTGCTCCGACACTGGCCACCAGCAACCATGAAGAAAAAAGAAAAGAGGCGGGAGCGTTAAACGCAATCGGTTTGAAGCCGTTTTTTTTTTTTTTTTTTTCCTCTGTTTGTTGTTGAAGGAGCAAGGAAACATCTTACAAAATTAGCGTTGGTGGTGGTTTTGGCGGGAAAAAAAAGTTTTATTTCCTCTGTGTGTGTGTGTGTGTGTAAATGTGTGTGTCTCACTCTGCTTCTTGAAGTGAAACGGTTCTTTGCGGAAGTGAGCGGTTTGATCGCGGTGAGCCGGCTCGCCGAGGATGGAGGGGGATGAGCTGCTGAGCGATGGCTTTGGCCTGCCTCAACATTTTTCACCGCACATGGCCCGCCCGGCGCCGGTGCCTTCGAATGCAGGCAAGTGTTTGGCTGGCCCCTGTTGGGAGCAAGACTTGTCAGTTTGGGGTTAGGCATGAAACGACGACATCCGACACCACCAACAGTCGGCGACTTGCGAATCTGGGCACTGCCCATGACCGTTTGCCCATGAAAAATCCTCATCGTTGATGATTGCTCGTTGCATGTGCAGAGATCGACCCACTATTGGCAAGCCCAACGGCAGCTTCCATGCAGTTCCAGCACTTGCAGCACCCGTACTCATCGCATCCCTCATCAGCTGCTGCATTTGTCGCTAGCCCCAACACACAGCATTCACCTGCATATGGTGCATCCGTGGCCTCTTTCATGCCTCACGAATCGCCTCAGCCCGCTTTCTCCATGATGAGCTCGCCCCAACTAGCCCAACTCGAGCACCTCCGCCGGCTGCAAGGACGCCAGGCTCAGTTGGATGCCATGCAGCTGCAGGGCAGCGCCTATCAACTCCAGCTGCAGCTTCTTCAAGAGCAGCAAGCACAACAGCAGCAAGCACAACTACAGGCTCGTTTAGAACAGCAAGCCCGTGTCCAGCAGCAACAGCAACAGCAGCAGCAGCAGCAGCAGCAACAAGCTCTTTTGCAGCAAGAGCAACGGCGACGCGCCCAATACGAACAGCAACAACTCTTTGAGCAGCTTCAACAGCAACAGTTGCTTCAGCAGCAGCAACAGCAACAACAAGAACAGCAACAGCGCCAGCGTTACCAAGAGCAGCAGCAGCTCCTTCAGCAGCAGCAGCAGCAAGAGCTTCAGCACCGCCAAGCTGAGCAACAACAGCAAGAGCTTCAGCGCCGCCAAGCTGAGAAACAACAGCAACAAGACCAGCAGCAACAGCGCTTGAAACATCAGCAACGAATCAAGCTGGAACAGCAGGAACAGCGCCAACGCTTGGAGGAACAAAAGCGTCTCGAAGAACAGCAATGGCAGCAGGAACAACAACGGCGCGCTCTTCAGCTTGAGCAAGAACAGCGCCGCTCTCTCGCTGACAACGCTTCCCAAACGGCCAGCCCTCCCGATGCCCCTATGATCGCTGCCAAAACACCCGGCACTCAGCCATCGCCCCGAGCAGCAACGAGCACTGGGCCCGAGCTCGTGGACATCCTAGACACCCCGCCCTTTGCCCATGTGGCCCGCGTGGTGGAGCAGTTTCAAGAATTTCAGGACAATCTGCTTGTTGGCCCTGGCGGAGGTTCCCAAGTCGAGATGCGCGTGCCAGTACAGATTTTGAATGGCATCTGCAAGGCATTTGCCGGAGTTTCGGGCCGCAAGGATACGCGGGACCTGGACCACCATGTTCTCACCAATCTCCTCACCAGTCTGGCGGAAATTTTGAAACAAGCTAGCAACATTCGTCTGGTAAGTTTCCGGCCCATGCGTTGATGTTTGCGCTCTGACCTTTGTGCATCAATACCATTGGCCGCCTTTTTCGCTTTCCATGCATCCCGTCGAGAGAGGCATCGTTTACCCTCATCCAATCTAAAACATTTATCACATGGCTAGTCGGGCCGTGACGATGAGGCTGCAGACTGTGATCAAGTCTTGTACGCATGCGATGCCGCGCGTGCTATTACTGCCATCTTGCTTTGTGACAATATACCGAAGCGTGTACGTTGCTCGACCCATCGTCCTCAGCCAATGAGAATGAATACCATCTTAGCACCCCATATCACGTGAACACAGGTTTTCGTGGAAGAGGTCATTCAGCCCTTTGTGGCCTTCGTCAAGCAGCAACTTGAACACAACGTCTTTGCCATGTGCGACGAAGCCGGTACGGATTACAAACTTGCATACCAAACTTGCATACCATCTCAGTGTGAACGGGGCTGGACAGCCACGCGTGGCTGACCCCAAACCGGCGCTTGTCCGCATGCTTGACTGGGCACGTCATTGCGCAGAGGGCAAAGACCGTCGGCGCTCTGGAGCCAAGTCACGCTTTGGTGCTTTTGTCAAGTCCTATCAGCGCCTCACGCTCCTCGTCGGGCAGTGTGCTCAATTGGTCGAGATTCACTCCTTGTCAGACACGACGCTGATTGACGTATGTTCTGCGCAATGCTTGCACATTGGCTCCTGTGGGGGCGGCGCTGACCTTCCTCGGTACCTTGGCCCTGCTCAACACTGCACCTCGCGGCGATCTTTGATCTTTGCAGCTGCACAACTTTGCAGTTCGCACATTTTTTCACTCGACGCCAGAAGATCTTCAACATGCCTCTTTACAGCTGGCCCGGGCGGTGCGTGCCTTGAGCTGATGTAAAAACCATATTTCCTGTTGGGCGCGCAGTCAACTCTGGCCTTGCTGGCTTCTTTTCACTCTTCTCCATCTATGTCCGCTCCCGTGTTTTGTCTTGCTTTTTGTCCCTTTGACGACCGTGTAGGTGTTTGCACGGTACCCGACGCATCGCCCGTCTATGATGGAGGATATTCTCATCAGCTTGACCAAACTGGACAATTCGCGCCGCGTGGCCAAGTCTTTCAAGTATGCCCTACTCCAAAAATTTTGTTTTTAAAGCAAACGAGCGTCTGCCCCTCCCGCCCCCGCCCCGCTGTTTTTTTCTTTTCCCCTCAAGATCAAACTTTGCCGCCGCCCGCGGCTTGGATAAAACGCCCTATCGCTCATCAAAATGGCCTTCGCTCGCTGCCTTTCACGATTAGGATCGCGGCTGGCAAAAGCATACAAATGTTTTCGGCCTTGATTATGGAGCTGATGCAATCAATTATTCCTGGGGCCATTACGCGCTATATCCGCGTGGATGCCAAAAAGGTTCGGCCATTGACACCTGGCCGCATTGAGTATCGGGTCTGTGGGCTGATGCATTGCTGACTGCAGGAGAATGGACCAGATCTGCCGAATGTGATTTCAAAGGCGTGTGCCGCCACCGACGATGAAGTGGCTAGCTTTGTAGGCCGCGTCTGGAACAAGTACGTGATTGTGACAGACGTGTCTGCCTCAGTGGTGCTGTATCATTGAAAGACCCATGCGCGGCGCCTTCTCAACAAGCCAACGTCTGTGTACAGGGCGACGCGCAAAGATTCTGAGCTGCATCATATTCTCACCAACTTCGTGTCCGACGCGTGTGAAACGGCCTTTTTGCCCGAGTGGCCCGTGGCCACCGTGTTTCTGATCAAACTCTTGCCCAACCTGGTGCGTGATGCTTGCATGAACGAGAGCAGTCTCTTCGGCCATCTCTGCCCTCTGCGTCACTCTGATGCCGCGCCACGTCCCTGCTGGAGAGCAGAAAGATGGTATCTTCCCCAAGGACAAGGGCGGTGGGGAGCGCCTGCATAACATGCGCACCTACGCTCTGGATCTATTTAGCACCATCATGACCTGCTTTGCTTCGGTAAGTCGATGCGTGCCCATCTGTTCCTTGGATGTCGGTGCACTTGGTCCGTGGACTTCTTTTTTTCTTTCATTTCTCATACGCTGGTGCTGCTGCTGTGTACCACAACAGGCCAAGCAACTGGCGAATAAACACGTCCACAGCTTTGAAGATGCCATCTATGCTGACCCCGTTGTCACAGATGCACATCGCACGGTTGGCCACGCGTTCCTGCTTCTTAGGCGATAATCTGACCCATGAGCCTCCATCTTTGAATGCGCTCACACACTTCCTCTTGATAGCATGAAGAGCGACGACGTCGTCAGGACATAATGCTCAACTTTCTGCAAGCCGAAGACGAAGTGATTGACAGCGATAAGCGTGCCGTGCGTCCATGCTAGGGCCTCAACCCAAGTCAACCTCTCCTTTTGAAAGCACGCACCGCACGTCTCATCGTGGACCATCGCGTTGCGCTCGCTGCTTCCGCTGCGGGCGCTTTGACATGCATAGGCCTTGGCCCGCTACTTTGCGGCGCGTTTCTACGAGGGGGAACAAGCTTTGTTGCATAGCTCGGAAGACAGCGTCGAGTTTACGCTGGAACTTGATGGTGATGCCACCTCTCTTGGTGCGTCTTTGCGTGAGCGACATGATGCGCCACACCCTGCTGGTCTGCCTGGAGGCATGTCTACCCTCCACCTGCCTCTCGCGTATCGCTGACCACCCCCATCTTGGTAGACGTGAGCCTGGTGGAAACGGCCAAGAAGCGGAGCAAACTTTTGTTGGAGCGAGATTTGCGCAGTGCAGACATTGTGCATGGCCCCTTTCGCGGGTAGGCGAGAGAAGACTAGGCTTGTTGAATGAGGGGGGCTTAGTGAGGGTGTTCCTCGCTCTGGCTTTGCTGTTCGTGCCCTCATTGCGCTTGCCGGCTCTCTTGCGCGGGGCTCTACAGCCATGCCAGCACAACTCCGGGATATGAGCTTGGTACCAGTCTCTCGGCAGCACTTCTTCTGGACGATCGCATCCTTGCGGTACGCACAGGACACCTCTACCCGTTCGACTCGAGCAGCGCTTTGGCCTAGATGTCGACCCATCTGCCTTTGATGCATTCCAACGCTTGTAGGCGGTCGCCATTAGTGTGCGCGTGCTGCAAAGCGCTGCGGCTCAAAAAAGCCCATCTTTGCGAGGCAAAGCCATCAAATCTTTGGCCGCTTTGACGGAACTGGGGGGGGATCAGGTGCTCAAGGTACGCCAGGCTGTGGTTCCCATGCACGCTGCATGCCTGGCTCCCGCCGTGCTGCAATTTGCAACCTCGTATAACCACGGCTGTGCGTCTTGCAGAGCGCCGAGCAGCTAGTCCGTGTGCGTCATGCAGACGTGGCTCCATCGGTCCGCGAGGCCACGATGATTCTCCTGACAAGTGTCGTGCAGGTGCACAAAGAGCAAGGCATTCCAAGTGCTCAGTTGATTGCCAAGTTTGAGAGCATCTTGCAAGAGCGACTATCCGACGTTGCGCTTTCCGTGCGTAAGCGCATCGTGAGCCTCAGTGAGATGCTTCTTCTAGGTGGCAAGTATAACACGCCAGCCACTGTTGGTCTGTTGCGCAAAATATTGCATCGTATCAACGACAACGAGGAAACCATGCAGGTTCGTCTCTGCCACAAAATCTGTCTCCGCCATCACACGGCACAATTTCTAATTTGCACCGCCTTGATGGCCGTGAACTTGCCAGGACGCCTGCTTCCAGACACTGCGGCGCCTGTTGTTTCGTGTCATTGCACCTGACAAAACCGAGAGCAACGATGACACTGTTCGACAAAGCGCTGGGCCCGACGTCACGAACGCTGTGGGTGGTCTCATCAACCTCATGAGCGGCGACGACGTGGATACCACCTGCTTGAGCCTTGTGCAGTTGTTGAAGCGCGTATGTCATGATCCTGGCGCGGCATCAACTTGCTCGGTAGCCGTGCCCTTGGGCAACCTGCATTTGACATTTTTTTACCTGTCAAACTTTCGCCCCACCCCAGCTCTTCAAGGAGGAGGACAAAGTGGCAGTTCAAGTGTGCGAAAATATTGTGGAGCATGTCAAGTGCTTGAGGTGGGTTGCATTTTCAACGTGCCTCGCACCGGCTGCGATCGACCAGAGTATCAGAGCCGTTCACTACACCTGACTTACGCTCGCTTCTGACCTGCTGCGGATGTGTTGTGTTTGTTGCAGCCAACGAGACATTGTCCCGCGTGTGTGGGGGCCACCGCTGCTCTTGCTACGCACGCTATCGCAGATCAAACCCGCTCTCTGCGCATCGGCCTTTGAGGTGCTTGATATGGTGTTGCAGCTTGACCTGATGGTGCGTAACTTGTTCTGGCCTGCATCGTACCGAGCCCTCCAGCAGTTGCGGTGGGGATGTCAATTCTCTCTCATACTTCACTTTCTTTAGGAGAGCGCCTCCGAGCGTGAGCTGCGCGTGCAGTTGCAGCGGGAGCCGTCGCGTGAGGGCAATGCGCGCTTGCTCGAAAAACAGCAAGAACGAGTAGCTTTGGTTCGCATGGCACGAGATGCCGCCGAATGCATGGCCAATATCCTACCCCTGGCGCCGCAGCCCTCAGAGCGTCAGTCCGAGGCCCTGGAGAAGGCTCTGACCCTCCATATCTCACGATCGCCTTCGACGGTGGGTTTCCGGGCCTGCCCCTCCCTCCCTCCCTCCCTTCACCAATCCCGCCGTTTCTTGGATTCTTTTCTGCGAATTACCTGCCCATGAACATCTGCATGCTTGATCTGACCTGCGACCCTTGTCTGAACCTTTTCCATTGTTCTGTTCTTCTTAGATGCTTCCACCCGCTGTACGCTGCCTAAGCGCATCAGTTCAACGTTCCAATCACTTTGACCTCGTGATTGAGCACGCACATCGATACTATGGTGCGTTTGCGATGCTGGTGCTCTCGGGGTTTTTGTCTCTATAGCCCCACCCGCTGCCATCTTGACCGCTGTGTGGCCCGCACTTATCGACCTTGCGATGTGCCACAACGTGTGCAGACTTGCTCAAGTCCGTGGCTGATAAAGTGGATACGTCCAACACGACCATCCGTCATGTGCCACGAAGCTTGCTGTGCTGTGGCCTTCTCTGTCGCTACTTTAAATTTGAAGAAGAAGGAGAAGGAGGTGTGCCGATGCTTGCATGCAGATGCTTACGCGCCGCTGTCCTCTGTAGTGCCTTGGTCACCTACCGCATATCCGTCATACCTGGTTTACTTACGGGCTCACGCTTTGGGTGTCTTTTAGATGACGAGCGCGACGAAGAAGTTGATTTCCCGCTGCACAACGTGCGTTCAGATCGATGCCTTGCGCAAATCATCTTAGTCATCGCCGCTGCCTTTTCCCCCATGCATTGCGTGGTCCAGTCTGTTAACTGGGCCCACAGGCTGAGGGCAACTCATGAGGAAGCTTGCTTTAGGATATTATTGAGCATGTCGTGTTTCGTGTCATTTTGCACTTTGCCAGCATGGACACAAGCAAGGCACCACAGGACATGCAGATGCTCCCACGACATGCAATCGATGCCCTGAGTAAGTCGTGCGGACTCCTTTGTGGCTGCATCACGTGTGAGCCTCATTCCTTGTCTTGGTGAGTAGAGCATTTCATCATTCGCAACTCGAGCTTTGTGATGCGCACCCAAGTGCGCGAGTTGCTGGGCTCCATGCTGATGCGTGGCACGGCACAAATGCGGGTGGCCATCTTGAATCTTTTGGAGGTTGGTTTGATATCGCAACTTTGTCCTGCTGCAAGCACCAAATGAGGCCCCTCCCCTCCATGAGGTAGAAAGGGGAATAGCAATGGGCCTGAAGGATGGCAAGGCCCAGAACAGACATGAGTCATTCATCATCGAGTGATGGGGGTCGAGCTATCCGCGCAGGTGGAGTAGCAGTCGCAAGTAGCATTACATGACCACACCGCGGCTCAAGCTTCTTGCGTCTTGTGTGGCTACTGCTTTGCGCCCCGCAGACGTTTTTGCAGGAAGAAGAGGCCCGGTTGGAGGCCCGGGTCCTGGCCGAAGATCGCCTGCGCAAGCGTCTCTCAGAAGATGGTGGCAAGGGTACATCCGAGGCGCGAGACATTGTGACCATCGGCGGGACGGACTCTGGTGTCAGCACCACGCTTGTGGGCGTTTTGATCGACAAAATCCGGGCCTGCGCCATTTGCTCGCGTTTGGATGTGCGCCAGGCGGTGGCGCCTGTCCTGGCCGTTGTGGCTCGTCGCGGCCTGACGCTCCCGGGCAAGGTGGGTGTGTATTTCGCATTTGTAGAATTTTATGGAAAGGCACGTCATTGTAGTGTTCTTTTGCAACGTCATAGGTGGCAGACGTGGCTATCGCACTCATTGCAGACCGCGCGTCGGAAGCGGCCAAAGCCGTGTCGGGCCCTCACGATTTGATCCCAAAGCTGGTACGTGCGCAATTTTCAACCGCCCATGAACTGACGAGATCTGCGCCGTGGGGCGCTACCTGAGGCATGACGAGCGCATGCTCATTGACCTCTTTTCCGTGCCACGTTGATTCTGGTTTGGTGGGCTGGATCGAGACCAGGCCGAGCACATTTTAACGGGCTTGCACGAGCGAGATGCGTCTTGCATCGAAATGGCCCTCAAAGAAGGCCTGCGCTTGACTCTTCAGCTACAAGCCAAAGGAAGAGAGTTGGCTCGTGGCTATTATGCGCTTGACGCAAACATGTTTGCCAAGCTTCGCATCGTGTATCGACTCCGCAGGTGCGTGAGCCATCTGCCTATTTGTGGCAGCCTGAGCTGAGCTACATCGACCCTGACATTGCAACCATACGCCTTGATCTTGTTGGCTCACGGCAACTCCGACGCGCTACATGTGGCTCTGCAGCAACGTGCGCCAGCATCGACACTCCTTCATCGACAAGGTGTTGGAGGGCACTAGGGCCATGGTATGTTGTGCTTGGTGTATATGCTCTCCTGGTTGTGCTTTCAATGTCTCTTGAGGCTTATGTCTGTTGCGTGGCCCCACCAGGATGGCCAGCGGTGCCCTTCTTTGCCCGAAGTTGTCTTTTTGGTGGATACGCTAGCAACGTTGGATTATACGTTGCAGGACGATGTGCTCTACGCCATCTACCAAATCTCCAACGTGGCTGAGCGTGAAGTCCCGTCAATCTTCGAAGTGCGTGACACGGCTGTGCTTATGCTCCATCATGACCGTGCTACTCGATGTACCTCACTGACTGTCACTGATCCACAGTCATGGAGCCGTGTGTTGGGCATGACGGATGTGACCATAGATGACGACCAACGGCGCAGCATAGAGTTTGTCACGGGTGCGTCGCAAAAGACCGCTTCTTTTCTTTCATGCGGTGTTTGTTTTGAATCCCCTTCTGCACAGCCACTAACTTGCAAGTGATAATCCCATCGACCATGATCGACCCACACGTACGCGTGTGCTGCTTACAGGTTTTGCCCAACAAGCCGTGAGCCAAGGGCGTGCAGCTGCCTTGGTGCCACACTTAAAACGTGCCCGGGTAAGGGGTGGGCTGATGCTTTCGGCTTTTCTGTTTTGTTTTTGTTTTTTTGTTTTCTGTTTTCCTTTTCTTTTCTTTTTTTTTTTTTTTTTCTTTTTCTGGGAGGCAGTTTGCTTCGCTCGCGCTCACGGGCGTTGGGTGTGCTATCAGGTCTGGCAACTCGTTTTGCTGCTCAAGCTTTATCTGCAGCGTCGATATAGTCTGAATGATCGGTATGGATGATGCCCGCCTGCCTGACCGGGGTGCACTGGTGCTCTGTCCCATCTGCTGGTGAGTCAAGGCTGACCGGACTGAATTGCCCTTTGCCTTGGTCGTGTGACTAGGGTGTGCAATGAGTACATGCCATCCCAGGTGCTGAAGCGCGATCAAGCAGCCACTGCTATCGCATGCCCTTGGAATCCCGATGTAGCGGCTCTGTGCGGTGAGTCGTGACCGGCAGTGTGCCAGACCCATTAATTGGCCGATGGAGAGTGGGCGCGAGTGTGCCTGACTATAATGTGCTCCTGTTTTTCATGCGTGGTACATGTTGCTCGATAGCCCCGCTAACGGCCAAGGTTACGCCAGAGACGGTAGCCGAGGACTACATTGCGGTGAGCACGCCCTGTTGCTCTTGTTACGCAAGGAACTGCTCAGCATGGCCGTTCCCGTAGTTCGTCCTTGTGCTAACTCTCTCTTGTTCTCTCTTGCTCTCTTGCTCCTTTGTGCTCTTCGTGTGCGTGTGTGTGTCTGTATGTCTGCCTGTGGGACCCATCATATAGTTGCACCTTTTGCATGAGGGGGAGTTGCCGAGCGGGTTTGCGACGAGCGTCGGTACAGATGAGCCCACACCGCCTCCCACAATGCGACGGGGCGGTAGTGCACGGCGCACTTCCTCCGCACCACAAGGTGCTCGTGGTGGCGGCAAGGCTTTTGCGGTACGTGGTGCCCCTTGTGTTGTGGTGGGCGATGAAATTCTCGCGGCGTGCTCAGTGGCGGTCGTGCTGGTGTCGGTGATAGGCACGGCGACGAAGTTCACAAGGTGCGAGTGCTCCTAAAAAGCCTCGCCGTCGTCGAACGTTGGATGACGACACGTCCGAGGACGATGAGGATTGGATGCCCTAGTGACACATTCTTAATCAAGCCTATCGACCCCGGGCGACTTGTATAGTGTTTCACTGCGATGACCACGTTTCAAATGGGCCTTGCTGTGCTGTTTTTAACTGACTTGTAAAATGTTGCTAAAAGAGCTTGACGACTGAAAAAAAAAAAACGAACGAATGAACTAAATCTTTCGAATTTAGCCATCAGACGACCAATTGTTCCTGACTTCCAGATACCATGTGCAAGTGCAAGTGCAAGTGCTCATCGTGGAGCCAAGTCGATCCAAGAAATGGGAAATACACGCTCTGAGTGTCGGTGAACAAGGCGAACTGCTCGCTTCGATTGTGATAAGGAGTCAAGAGGGAAAAACACCAAGTTTGAGGAGCAATCGGTGCAGGGAGGAGGATGGTGGAAACGGGTCAAACAATAAGAAGGACAAGACGACAACGAGTACAGGGATTGGTGTTTACTTGGAGGCCAGCTCGTTGGAGAGCCAGTCGAGACCCTCATACAGACCCTCACCCTGGGTGGCACAAGCCGATTGGATGTACCACTATCCCACACCCGCGTTGCATCACACAGAAACAAGGTTTGGTGAGACATGGTGGAACCCAGGCGTACATGGGCCGGCTGGGGAGCTAGACAGACCTTGCGGTTGCGCAGCTCGGGCAGGCCAAGCTTCTCAGTGATTTCGGCAGGTGACATGGCGTTGGGAAGATCCTGCTTGTTGGCAAAGACCAACACGGTGGCTTCCCGCAGCTCATCCTCAGCCAACTGCACGCACGCATCACCAGACAGCACACCGGCACTGAGTTGTTGAAGCGAGATGTGACCTAAGAAGGCAGCTGTCGTGCCGAAATAGGGGCGAGGGGGTAGGGATGCCAGCCACCAGGCGGCAACGAACCATCTTTGTGAGCTCCTCCTTGGCTTCACCGATACGCTCGCGATCGTTGCTGTCCACCACAAAGATGAGACCCTGGGTGTTTTGGAAGTAATGCCGCCAGAGGGGGCGGATCTTATCCTGACCCCCGACGTCCCACACGGTAAAACTGATGTTCTTGTATTCAACCGTCTCCACGTTGAAGCCTGTGAGGTATTGACCAAGGTCAGAACAAGAAGGGCAGAGCCCACACCAGTCGCCCCAGGTCAAAGGAAAAAGGGTGCTTTAAGGGGGATTGTGAATCGGAGCGAGGCAAGCCGCTGACTCGTACCGATGGTGGGAATGGTCGTCACGACCTCGCCCAGTTTAAGTTTGTAAAGAATGGTGGTCTTTCCCGCGGCGTCGAGACCCACTGGCACCCGGACACGGTGATCATGAGCAGGGTGCAGAGGCGTCAACACGAAGAAGCCCGGCTTTGCAGAAGAACTTGGGCAAAAGCAAGGAAGAAGCATGGGTCAAGAAAAGCATGGCAGCCAAGGACCAACCCATCAAAATGCGCATCTCGGTCTTGCCGAAGAGCTTGGTAAACAAGCTCGAAATGGTGAGCCCCATGACTGCAAAGAGCAAACATGCAAATCAAAGGGCCGAATCATGCATGAGTCAGGGTGCTCGGCGTACAGTGAGCCAACCAGGCAGGACAGCGCCAGCTTGAGGCCGGCCGCAGAACTGACGACGTGAAGCGCGACAGCGCGCGACCGTTCAAATCAAGCGAAACCCAAAGCAAGCCTGCTACCCAGCTAGCTGCCACGAGCTCACACAAGACCCGGACCCCGTTCCTGCCTTTGATCTCTCAACGACACGGCCCTGCCATCACACCCTGTGACTGACCAACTCATCATCACAGCCATCCGCCGCCCGCCCCGACAACGCCCCTCATGCCCACCCCCTTGAACGATTCGCCCCTCCCTTCACCCCTTCACCTCTTCACCTCTTCATCTCTTCACCAACGCGAAACTCGACCCGTGATGAATGCTATTCACCGCTGCCATTTCACCCCGCTTGCCACAAAGCCGAGCGACGGACGCATCCAGTCAAGCGCGCACGCATTCCCACACACACACACACACACACACACACACACGCACAGACCTGCGGTGCTGGCAATGAGGGTACGAAAGAGCGGCTCATAAACTGCAACACGCTGTTCTATCGTGATGTGCCTGTGGAGCTGAGAGACGGGAATGTTCTCACTGCGTTCGTGGGTTGGGATAGTATTTTACTTCTTTGGAGCTGGATGAGGATGCCACCGCGGTCGCAAGCGCGGAAAACGGCAGCGGCATCCAAGGCCGGCGCCAAAGCCCAGGATGTCAAGACCAAAGCCAAGGCGAAGATAGAGAAGAAGGACGCAGATCCAGTCAAGGGTAGCCGGGCGAAGAAGCTACCGGTACCCTCGGCCAAGGCGGAGGCTCGCTTCAGATCTGTGCGTTTCCTCCGTCTCAAGCCTCTGGGACCGCCCGCCCAAGCGTCAAAAGGGCTCACCTCACTCGCGACGTGCTGCTTGCGTGTGTCCCCCAGACCATGGTTAAGAAGATCATGCAAAGCGACGAGGAAGTGGGTCGTGTGGCTGCACCGGCTGCCGATTTGCTCAGTACGTGCAAGTTTTCGGCGGGCGGAGCTGTGGAGCCACACGGCTGTTGCTCCCTCACACTCACGCTCTCGTTCTCGGCGATGCCAGATTGCGCCCGACCTGACTCTTTGACCCACCCTTTCTTCCGTAGGCCGACTTGTGGACGTGTTTGCCGATGAGCTCGTCCGGGCAGGCGTGGAGCAATGCCACGGTGACACCCTCAGTGCCGGCCATCTGTACGTGGACCCGACGGCGTCGTGTCTGCAGCCTAGGCGGCCCGGCAACTGGTACATTTTGGCTGGCATCGCACTCAGCTCATGGAGCCGTTTGAATGGGCGGTGGCTGCTCGCAGGAAACAAGTCATTATGGCCCATGAAGAGTATGACTTCTTGCAGGAGCTGGCCAGCAAGTACAAGGATCCCGTGAACAAGAAGACCAAAACCTCGACCGCTCGGTGTGGGCCGCCCTCCCTTGACCGCGCTTTGTTCTGAAAGCCTGCCTCTTCCTCGTGCCTCACCCAGCAGGGTCTTCAAACTCGCCGCAGGTCGACCGCCGCTGCATCCTCGAGGCGACGAAGTGCACAAGCAAATGAACAAGGAGCTGGCCCTGCTAGCAAGCGTGCCAAGACGGCGGCTTCGAGCAAAAAGCAAGCTCGAGCGCAAAAACCTGCCCAAAATTCGGTGGAGGTGTGATCGTGCCTGCTGCTTGAGTACTGCTGTTCTATGCTGGGGGTGCAATCCCGTACGTGCATCCTCAATCACCACCAGCGACCATGCTCATCTCCCGCTCTCGTTGGTTGGGTGTGTGCTGGTGCAGCAGTCGGATCCCACCGAAGCCTCGCCATCTCCCGCGATCCAGCAACCGGTGCTGGAGCTAGACACGGATGACTATGACTGACTGGGCTTACACGCCAGGGGCCCAAGGCCCGCTGCAAGACAGTCCGTGACGTCCGAGAACACCTGCCGTTCTTTTTTTTTTTTCTGGTTTGTGACTTTTGTGTGGATGTGCCAGGCAAAGGCAGACAAGGCAGAGCTGTGCACAGCCCCATGTTTCAAACGTTCCGCTTCCTGACAGAAAGCAGACACCCTTACCTAGCACCTTTGAAGTGCAACTTGCATTTGCAAGGCGTGTGGTGATATATGCTGGTGTGGATAACGGCACATGATATTTTTGGGCGCAGGCCGCTGAAGACGTTGATCTTGTATTCTTCCTCTTTGTGTGACCTACTCGTGCATTCTCGGTTTGGTTCACATGCCTTCCTTCTCTGCTAGAACGCCTTTATCCCAACCACAGGTGTCAATCCGGCAAACCACCGAGTGATGAATGCAAAGCTGCTGATTTTCAAGATATAATAAATTGAAGGGTTCCGTTGAATCTGGTGGCAGAAACAGCACATCCACTCGGAGGAACAAGAGTACTTGCATCTATATCAACATCGCCTGGAGGATGATAACTCATAGGAGATACGGCCCAAGCCACGCATGCAGAACTTGTTTGGCACAGCCAAAAAAAAAAAAAAAAGTCCTCCGACTTGCGTCGCGATGTTGAATAGTCGGACAAGTCTGCGTGCACGAAACTGCCTGGTTGGCGCCACGGAAAGAAAGCACGAGGCTGACTCAACAGCGCCAAGACCCAGTTCAAGAGACAACGTATAACATACACTTGCACAAGCGAAGACACGCCTTCACGCGACATTCAAGGTCAAACACACGGTGGTGCCCAAAAACCAACGTTGGCACCACATTGACAAGACATGACGGCCCGCAGGGCCCAAAGTGTTGCTTTGAACAACACGACACATCAAAGATGTGGGGGGACGCACACAATCTAGACGGAAAAAAATAAACAGCAAAAAAAGGCCAAAGGACAGGACAGGACAGGCCTCAGTCACGGCGCTCATGCAACTAGTTCGGGCACCTTGAGACCACCTTGCTCTGCCAGGCGCTTGTACTTGGAGGCCTCGGCCACGTTGCGCTGCACACCAATGCCGTGAAGACAGCATTGGCTGTAGACAAATGCCGAGGGCAGATGACCCGTGTCAGCAGCCCGGCGCACGAGCTCAGCACCCATGCCGGCGTCGTGTAAACTGTACCGCAGCGTTAAGGTTAATACGCCAACGATGAACATGCTATGCGGATTACCGCCCGAGGACATGATGACGTGCTGGTGTAGGGCCGGCATGCCGCTCACCAAGGCGTCGACGTTGATGTTGAGGGCGGTGAGCTGATTTGCCAGCAAGAGCGAAAACTGAAGCTCGGCATTTGTAGGCAAACGATCCATGTTGGACGTGGCAAAGTTGGGCATGCCGGACATCCCCTGCATCCCCTGCATCCCCTGCATGCCTTGCATCCCCGGAACGCTGGCCATGTTCTGCATGGTTTGCATGCCAGTCATGTTGGGCATGGGCATCATGGGCTGCATCATGGGAGACATGCCTAGCATGTTGGACATGTTGGGATGGGGACCAGGGAAAAAGGTGCCGGTGCTCTGGCTCGGAGCTGAATCCGAGGTATGGTTGTCGAGGGCGTCACGAGCGGCTTTCTTGCTGGTTGGACCGGGCTCGGTTGACGTGTCGCGTGCTGAGCGTTTGGCAACGCTGTGACTGCTGCGCGATCGATGGCGGTCGCGATCACGGTCTGGGTTGTCGAGAGGCAGGGTACGAAGGGCCTCAGCTGCTGGGGCGTAGCCTTGTTTGGAGGCAAGACGAAGCAAGTACTGTCCCTGCAATCGGGTTGTGGCTTGCTTGCTACGCAAGTAGCGTAGACTGAGCTGATACTGTGCTTGTGGCAGACCGTAGGTACAAGCTTGACGGAGCCAATCCAGACCTCGGGTGTGATTTGAGTCGCGCTCCGAGGCGCTGGACGATTGTTGTAAGAGAGTGATGGCGAGATTGGCCATGGCAGCTGGATGTCCCTGTTCTGCACATTCCTCGAAAAGCTGGCCGGCGAGTTCGGTGTCCTTATCGACGCCAGTTCCCGAAAACAAGCATACGGCCCTGTAACACGCAGGTGATTGAAAAAAGGGTGAGTCGAGTTCAGGTGGAGACGAGTTTCCGAATGATATACAAAATATGGTGGAGGGGGCCGACAGGCGCACCTGTTGAATTTGGCATGGAGATGGGTGGCGCTGCCTAGCACAAACAGGTTGTAGGCAGCGGCGTGGTCTTGCTTAATGTTGAGGCCGTGGTACTTGCACGAGCCGTACAGGCTTTGCGCAAGACCGTCCGATTTAGCGTATTGTTGAAGGCGCTTGAGAACCTTGTTGTCCTTGCCTTCGCGCACGGCAGCGTAGGCAAAGACGGTGTCAAAGGGGGTGGGCTCGGCGGCATCGCCACGGACGTAGGCATGTGCTAAATCAAGGAGGGGAGGATCTGGAGTGGCACTGGCCTCTTCCAGGGATTTTTGCAGCTCGTCCGGGAGGTACACGTCGAGGGTTTCGCGCACCAGGTTGCGCGTTTTGCGGCAAAACTGAAACGTGAGGTTGGGTTGATCATAGAGAAGGCGTTGGAGGCCAAGAATGGCCAGAACGTTGCGAGGTTGGGTTTGCAGGACCGAGTCAAAGAGGAGCATGGCTTGCAGATAATCGGCGCGACGCCAAAGATCAAAGGCTTCGAACAAGAGTTCGGCGGTCGAACTTTCGTGGCGCTTGCGTCGAGCGGCTTCTTCCGCTTGTTGGTGAGCTGTCGATTCGGTGGCCGAGTGCGGCGGCACATCACCGATACCAAAGCTGTTTTGAGAAAAGGAGTTCTCGGCGTTGGAAGAGAGACCGGTGAGTGAGGCATTGGCAAACCCGTTGGAGTTTGAGTTTGTGAGCGAGTTGGAGTTGTTCGAGTTGGAGTTGGAGTTGGAGTTGGACTGGGCGTTTGAGTCGTTGGACAGGGTTTGTGAATTGGAGCTGCCGTTGCCGTTGGAGGTGGTGTTGGATTCGGTCGAGTTATTCTGGGAGCGATCCTGGGGTGCGGTGCTAGTAGGCGTGGCGGGGTGGCGATGATTGTTCAGGCCGTGATGGTGGTGGTGGTGGTGGTGGGCCTCTTCCTGCGAGGCTGAGTGGAGGTAGGTGTCGGAAGGACTGTGACCACCGCTGTCGCTTGGGGTTGAAGAGGGATCTGACTTGTTGTCTTCATCACCGCTACTGGACTGCGGCTTTTCGCTGCTGCGGCTGTTGGGGTCGGTGGGCAGATCATCGGAGCTGCGGCCATTGCTGCCATGGCTATCGGGCGAGCGTTCGCTGTACTTGGAGTTGTACTTGCTGGTACCGTGGCTGTGGTCGCGTTCCGTTGCCTCTGAGTCTGGCTGGTCGCCGGAATGGGTGGAGTAGGCGTTGGTGCCTTGATCGTGCCGAGTGGGCTCGTGTGGAGCGGTCAGGTTGTTGGCACTCGCGGCATCGGCGCCGTTGGCCGGGCTCGAGTTGTCGCGCGAAGTTGGACCGCCGTTCATGGTCAAAGGCGGCGCGTGCAGCACAGCAGAGGCGGGAGGCGAAGGTTGACGGCCGTGAGCATGTTCACGGCCGTTGGACGATGAAGACGAGGATGCCGTTATCCTGGCGTTCGTGCGCAAAAAGCACGGGCCAGGTGGCAATATTGGGGTATGAAAAGGACTTTGCTTGTCGGAGAGGGCCCGAGTTGAGACGTATGGTGAAGGAGGCGAGAAGGACGAGTGTCTATCTTCAACGGCTCGAGGTTGGGATGATCGGGCTGACGAGGGCGGTGGTGGTGAAGCCAAAGGGTCGGTTCCAAGATTCTCCAGGGCTGGTTTGGCAGCCAGGATGACACCAACCGAAGAGAAGCCGCAACGGTTACACCTCAGCGGGATGTGTGTGTGAGCGTGTGGTGTGTGTGGTGTGTGCGTGTGTAGAGCAAGAGTGTCAATCGAGATTTTATGGTGAACGCACGCGTATCAGAGAGAGGCAGAGACAAAATGTGACACGGCTGTGCGGGGCAGGAAGGCACAAAAACAGAGAAGACCCCGCACCAATGCAAGTGGAAGGCAGAATGAGGCTTCGGGAAGGCGGAAGACAAGTCCTCGGGAAGCCAAGGCCGGGTGGATGCGGGGGGATATGGGAAGAGTGGCAACGACAATCACGATGGCTCAGGAGGAAGGAGGGCGGGCGGGCCAGCACAACTGCCGCGCTGTGATGACGCGAGGGCAGAGGTACAAAGTGTGTGATGACGCAGCGCGCTGATCGTGGCTGCCCTTTCGGTTCGCGGGTTTTGATGGAGACGGATGTCTTCAGGTCCCGTGAAATGTGGGGATGAACAACAGTTGTGGGGCGTCACGAAGGTTTCGTCCGACGGGTCCGACGCCACCTCACAACGTCAGGATCCACACGGTTGCAGGCAGCAGGGAGAACACGCGATGGAGTGCATGAACTTGGGGCTGGGCGGGGCTTCGCGAGGGTGATGGTGCGCTTCGCGGACCAGAGCCTTGCACCAAGAATCTGGTTCATGAAGCTCGATGGCCGTTTTCCTCGGGATGAGGGCTGGCGATGAGCTTGGCAGAGCCGGGGTTGAGATATCGCTATGCGATGAGAGACCGGGGCTGGCTGGAGGGCTCAAGCCATCTCCTCCCCGTGTGATTATCAAGCGGTTTCAGAGATGAGACGCGGCGACAATCCCCATGGCAGAGAGTCGCTTTCGTCTGTTCAAGTGCTACCTGTCCACGACACACGTCAAGCACCCTTCAACGGCATGTCATCTGCTTTCTTTGTTATCTTTTGTTTGGGGAGGACAGTGGTGGGGGTCAGAAGCAACACGATGGTATGTCGGATTTATGAAGCTAATTGATGGTTTTGTGTAGATTTGTACGTTGTCTCCCCTATATTTTATGTAGAAGAATAATGGGTTTATGTAGTATCGGGCGGTGAACGAAGGCGGGACAAGAGTTTGCATGAAGGTTCCGGAAGATCAGAACGAAGAGCCGCACGCGCAACTCACCTTGAACTGTCATATGCACGTCAAACCCGATCACGGACGATACTGTGGAAACGCGTGACAGCCCGGTGGCCACATGGTGACAGGAAGGATGCTTCCTGAGGAGGGGTAGACAAGTCTCAGGATGCTTCATGAACACCACAGACGGTTCCAAACCCTCATCGTCAAGGGCTTCGTCATCTCTCTAAAAATAGCTCCGATTTTACAAATTTAACAAGCCTCTCTATTGTTAATCATTCTCGTAAGCGCTGTTTGTCATGCATGCGTGCATGCATATTCATGCAAATCGCCCCTGCGACCCGAATCGTCCGCTCAACTCGATCATCCGGGGCCCTTGGCTTGAATCCAGAGAATGCAACAGCGCTTTCAGTTGGCAGTCAGGGCGTTCCCGTGAGAGGCGGGCCAGACTGAGCCAACACCGTGCACGCGCTCCGACTCATCAATCAACGTGTAGGGCATTCAATCATGAGGCCTTGGCTCGGGCATCGCCCTCCGCTCTACCTCTCGCTGCTCTTGTGTCTCATGCCCCTCAAGCCGGTGCCCGCCGCTGCCGGCCAAGTGCGCCGCTACTACCTTGCGGCGGATCTTGTGGTGCGGCTGGACCTTCTGATCGTCCGCATCCTTTGCCCTTTCGGCCCACGACCTCAGAAACGCGATCCACCTGGCGCGCCCTCTCACGCGCACGCACACGCACACGCACACGCACTCTTCTGCCCAGGAGTGGGACTATGCACCGTCGGGTCACGATGAGCTCATGAAACCAATGCAAGGCGACAAACCCATGGCCATGCACGACCCTCCTCCACCCGCAGATGAGTGCGGCTTTGCACAAAAGGCTCCCACCCCAATGCATATGCATGATGAGCACCTTTGGCTCGATGCCACTCGGACCAGGTCTGCATCAAGACCATCTGCGGGCCGTCCCAGTATACCCCTGGTCTACCCGCGCTGCTGTCCGCCAAGACTTCCATCAATTGCCCTCACGCCTCGCCGTGCCTTGCCCAGGATTGGAACCCGCTACACCAAGGCGCTGTATCGGTTCGTCATGCCAGTCGGCACCGGTGGGCATAGCACCTGATTAGCACTGCACCCTCACCCCGGCCCCAATGCCTCCTATCAGCGCCTACACCAATGACAGCTTCAGCCAACTCGCCCCAATTCCCCCCGAATGGGCCCACCTGGGGGCCCTGGGCCCGGTCCTGCGCGCCCAAGTCGGCGATACCCTGACCGTGGTCTTTCGCAATAATCTCGCCTTTCCCGCCTCGATACACCCTCACGGTGTTCGCTACGACAAACGCAATGAAGGTTGCTGACTGCTCCTTACACGCCCAGTGCCACAAATGCTCTCCTCACAGCAGCTCGAGCTCATTGCCATCTCACCCGTCTGTCCGCTCGCCCCTGACCCTACCCCTAATCCCCCCGCATCTCTCCGCTAGGCGCCCCCTACAATGATGGGCAGATTGATTTGGGGGACGTTGTGGATCCCGGGGCCACTTACACCTACAACTGGCAGGTTCGTCGACACCTCGTTCTTCCCTATATTCGTGTTGTTTCAGAGTGCCATCCCAAAGTCAGCCCTCCCCGTGTCCATCACCCGGCTGCTGCCTTTGCGCACGTTGCTTGCCCCCCACCCCTCTCCCCCCCAAGCTTAGGTCCCGCCAGAAGCTGGCCCGAGCGCCCTGGACCCTAGCAGCATTGCGTGGCCGTGAGTACTTCATGCTGGCTTGGGACAACGATGCGATGCGCGCGCGAGCGTCTGATGCACCTTCCCATGATTCGAGAAACGCTAGATATCATAGCCATGTGAACGAGCCCATGGACACTGCAGCCGGTCTGATCGGTGCTATCATCGTGACTGCTGTCGGACGAGCCCGCGCCGATGCCTCTCCAAGTTGGTGTGCATGCCCCTCGGCCGGGATGCTTAGCCGGTCTCCCTCCCCGGCTCTCCCTGTATACGCTGGTATTAACGGCCGCTCTTGGCAGCTGACGTTGACCAGGAGCTCCTCTTGAGTTTCTTCAACTATGATGAATCCATGTCGCCCATGCACATGATCAACATTCAGGTGGGCACCACATCTGCCCACTACATGGTAGTTTTCCCAACACCAACTCCGCTCCATCTCACGACCCACTCTATGGTTGGCAGCATCATCTCAACACATCGGGAAACTTGTCGACGGACTGCTTGGCCCGGATCCTGTCCGACAATGACTATGCCCTGAGCAACAAAATGTACGGCATCAATGGCCTCGTCTACGGGAACCTTCACCTCCCCACCGTACGTCAATGTAGCCCCACCGAGTCACTCTCCTCTGAGCAACCAACATCTGGCCACGCGAAGCCCTCATCGTCGTTCCGATGCCAGCTGCGCGTGGGCCAGCGCACACGTTGGTACTTGATAGCCTTTGGAAACATGGACGATATCCACACACCGCATTGGCACGGCAACACGGTTCTACACGAGGTACAGCCGACTACGCCTACCAGACCTCAGCAGCCAGGAAGGACCGCCGGCTGCTTGTTTGAACTCATGGGCTCCGCACTCTGCGTTTCTCATACATACAAAAGGGCCATCGCAAAGACGTGCTTCAGCTCCTACCGGCCGCCACGACAGTAGCGGACATGTCGCCCTACAACATTGGTTTGTCCTCACCTGCTAAGACTCCCGAGTCAATCGGTTTGCTCAGAGGGGTGTGATGGAGCACTGGCACCTTTTTCACAACGCCATGAATCACAGGAGAGTGGATGTTTCAATGTCACGTGCACCATCACATTCACGGCGGCATGTACACCAAATACGCCGTTGCCGCTGCGGCCAGTCCAACCCACACACCCGTGGGCCATGGAAATAGCCGCCCCCGTCCTTCGGTACAGCACTTTGTCGCTTTGATGTGCACCCGCAACAGTACCATGCTGTCAGGCTTTGCATTGGGAGAGAGGTTGGGTGTGGGGCTAACACATGGACAGGTGTAGTGGGAAGATACCCATTTGACTCAAATGCTCATTCATGTGCAAATTCATGACGCGTCTCCCTCTGACCCAGACGGTAACAGTGTGGAGTGCTCCGTGGCTCATTATCTTGTTTGTTATTCTGGGCACTTTTCTCCTCGCTGCCATCGCACACAAGTGGTCAGTATACGCGATGATTGTCCGGGCACGGCTAGCCAACTACTCCGGCTCAACGTTGTTTTTGTTTTTGTTTTTTACCGAGACGGTGGCGGGCACAAACTATCATGCGTGACATGTGTCTTGACTCACTGCCACCCGCACCTCGCAGGCATCGAAGTCGCATGTCAGTCGCAACAGCCACCTACAGTCGCGTTAATCAGGCTTGACCCGACTGCTCATCGCATTTTTCTGCGCAAGTCCCACAACATCTTGGCGAGGCCACTTTGTTCGAGCCAAGCGTCGTGTCGGTGTCTTTGTAACCACGCCGTGGCCCATACAGCGAGTTGAGGTGTTGCAAACAAGTTTGAGTCATTGGACCACCCGCGCACTTGCTACGGGCTTGTTAAAAAACAAAATTTGTGCTTGCAAAAGTTATTAATTATTAACTGCGTTGTCACATCGTATACCTGGTTTACTCCCACGCCGTGGGGCCTGACAGCTGGTCGGGTGCAGAATGAGTTGGATTGAGGTAGATCGTAATGTTGGGGCTTGCGACAAACCGAGGCGGACCAGTATTGAGCAACTTGTTCCAAGAATACGGCGTTTTGGTCAACATTTCGACTAACATCGGAAGTAAAATTGTATACCAGACACAGAAAGCACAATACAGGCCTTTGATCGCGCTTGCTGGAGGGGCGATCTCACTAATCCTGCCCCGCACGACCCTGGCAGAAGCAGCTTGATGGCAAGTCCACATCTCGACGAGCTCTTCGTCGCTCACTTGTTGTCGGTCACCACCATAAACCTCATGTCTCAAAATACTTGTAAAATTACAAAAACTTTCATCAATTTGACAGTTTACGCACTGCCTACCATGCGGGCGGCATGAAGCTGCCAAGTCTCGCTCACCTCACTACACCACTCAGCAAGACAACAGGGGCTGTGGATTCTAGAACAAGCCCATTTTTTGCTTGTAGGCATTGAGATCGATACCACCGCGCTTTCTGGTGGCTCCGTTGGAGCTGGAGCCGGCGGCAGGCGTCGGCTTATCGACTGATGCTGGATCGCCTGAGGACGGGGCTGGCACCCAGGGCACAGCAACAAGAAGAATAGGTCAGATGTCACATGCAAAAAGCAGGTGGCGCAGCCACTGTGGACTTCATAATCGTGCGAGGAGAACCACACGCACCATGGATCTCCAAGTCGTCTAGATCGTCCAGGTCCACCTTGGGCCCCACCGCTGCAGCATTCGGAGGTTAGGACACATCGTATGAGTCAAGGAGCAAATGTGGGAATGGAACCGCATCAACATCATCATCATCATCACAATAATAATAATAATAATAATAATGGTGTCAGGCCGCGTGCGAGTAACTCTGCTGAGCGTACGTGCGGGAATCTCAGGAACATCGCGTTTTGCGGGTTCTTGCTCTGTCCCAGGCTCTGGGTTGGCCTTGGGCGCGTCCACGTGTCCCGTTGCGTGAACCTGGCGCAGCTTCTTAATCTATGTCAAGAGAGATTGAGATGATCAGTCCTCATGGCAGCCTTGGTTTTTTATGGTTCGTAACAATCAACAGACAGCCGTCGTACCGAGCCCGAGATGCGAGGTTGTGTGGGTCGGCGCACAGAAGAATCTATATGCACAACAAGATGACACAGGCGCTTTAAATGAGACTTGGCTGCACCAAACAAAGGCCCGAATCATAGGGGCTCGGCAAAACTGGATAAGCGAGCCGCATAAAATCCCAACAAAACACATAGCAGCAACCTTGACGCACTTTTGGCAAGCCGTTCTTGTTCGAGGCGGCGCTCCTCATCGGTGCGGCGCTGCATCTTGACGCGGTTGTCCAGACGATTGCGCTCATTGACGCGTGCAACCTGCGCCTGGTGGTGCTCCTTCATCTTGTATGCCTGAACCTGCTTGACCATAACGCGATCCAGCTCCTCCTATCCGTAGCGCGCGTCCCCACCCCGGGTGCAAGGCACCGGCAGAGTTCCTGTGAGACAGCAGCTGACATGGGTACTCGTGGGCACCCATCATGCCCACACCAACCTGAAGGCGGTCGACCTCAGCTTTGTCCCCAGTCAGCTCGGCTCGTGCAAGCTCGCGCTGGAGCCGCTCCTTCTCCGCCACTGAAATACGAGCCAGCCATCGCCATGCGGACGTTGAATCAGTTGTTCGGTTGATGGGGCAAAGTGCCTGAACGTCACAGAAATGGACTCGAGTCCACAACGCGAACGGACCAACCCTTGTTGATGGCGGCAACGCCAACACGCTTCTTAGAGGCCACAATAAAGGCGACATCAGACCCCTTGTGGATGTAATCCTTCGCGTGAGCTGCCCACACACGAGGAGAAGCCGAATCCATGGGTCAGATTGGAGCGAGCTTGAGTTCAAAGGCAGTTTTTGGGGTGTTGTGTAGAGAAATACAGGGGCGGACGGGAGGCCAGGCCAGCGGCAACGGCGTACCGAGGTCTTCAAGTTTCTTCTTGACATGCGAGCGCATGACGAGCGAGCCGTCTGAGCGCTTAGTCGCATCGGCCCAGCGGACATACTATCAGCAGGAACACAAGGCTGATCAGTCAAGCAGGTGGGCTTGCATTGTTTTGACGGTTTCCCGCGGGCCCACACCTCAGAGTGGGCGATAGGCTTGTTGCTGACGTAAGCCATGCGAAAGCGCTTGATGTCTGAGCCATGGCGAACGCGAATGTGCAAGTCCGTTTTCGTTTTCTCTGCGAATCAGGCGCCGGCGATGAAGCCACGTGAAGCAAGAGTCAGCGTTTGCATCGCTTCTACCCGTCCTTATCATCCAAGAGGTGGCATGAATGCTTCAGCTGCCCAATTGGAAGCCTACCCAAGGAGTACACGCGGCCGCGTTCCACGCTCTCAATGATGCCCATGCGATATGTTTCTACGTTGGTAGTGTGGTTGACGCCAATGCTGACGCGAACCACAAGGCCTATTTCAACGGTCAACGCTGAAAAGTGAGTAGTTGGAGCGTCGGTCGAGGATGCCTGTGGACAGGTGAGGCCGCACCGAGCACTGTTTTCTCAAAGAAGGGCTCGTGGGCCCAGGTGAACAGTTTGTGACGCGAGACGCGGATTGATTCGAGCTCCTCAAAGGTGGCCTCGATGTAATCTTCTTCCTAAGAATAAGGTAGAAGCACGGGGAATAAGGCGTTGATCGCAGGGCAAGGTAAAAATTGCTGAGAGTGACGCCAAGGGAAGAGGAGACACAACGTACGTCTTCAACCACCGGGGCGCCGTCATCTCGCTGTCGTCAAAGCGAGCGACATTGGCATGGAGGAGCAAGAACGCAAGGGACGTAATCAGCACAGAGGAGTGAGTGGCAAACCGCAGCGGGCTGTGGGAGCGCAGTGGCGAGAGGATATGGTCCGGGGGGTTGGGTTGTTCACAAGCTCGCGACGTACGGCCGGCACGTCGGATTCTTCATAATCGCTGTCCTCCTCGGCCTCATCCTCTTCTAGACTTGCCTCTGCGTCCTCATCATCATCATCGGCACGAGTTCGGCCTAGGGTAGGGGCGAGGTGAGGTGGTTTTGATGTGGTAGCCAGGATCTACTACAGTCCATGCATGCAAACACATCCACACATGTTTCACGAGCGTTGTGGTTGATTACCTCGTCGACTGCGCCGGAGCTGGGCCACGGCAGCCTGCTGCTCGGCAGCTTCTCTGGACTTTGTCTTTCGTCCAGTGCGGCGAGGTGCTGGTGGCAGCCCCCGAGTGCGCGCGAGCGGGGATGGGCAGCGAGAGCATGAGGCGTCCAATGAGCGGGAAAGACTGAACGGTATGGGCCATGTCGTGGTCGCTCACCGGTTTTGGCGCTTTGCTTGGCTTGTTCAAGTTTGCGTTTGCGACGGCGCTCCCAATAAGTCTTGGCTCGCTCGTATTCCTCGCTACGCTTGAGCAAAATCTAGTGGAGCGTGCGGCATGCCTTTGTCAGGTCGAGGCGGGCGCCACCACATCCGGAGAAAATGAGGCGGAACTGACTTCTTCGCGCTTCAGTTCGGACAGGCTGGCCAGGTATTCCTTATCCGCTTCGTCACCCATCATGTCCTGCATCGGATAATGCGAGTGAGCTTGTCAGATTTGTGGCCGACGGGACCAACTGTTGGCCATGTTACGGCGAGGTCGAGCGAAAAGGGGAGAGGGGGCGCATGTTGGCCAGCACGAACGTTGTCATATTTCCAGACAAACTCTTCATCCGAATCTGAAGGAGACGATGGATGACCACAGGGCCGGCCATCAATGAGAGAACGAGGCGAGGCCGGTGTGCGGACAGGGCCGATGGCGGGAACGAGGCGCGCCCGGTGAGGACTCACCAAAGGCATCGTCATCCTCCTCACGGCCCTTGGTGGACTTGGTGACCGGAGCGGCCTAGAAAAAAAGCACAAAAAGGAAGGCAGCCAGTCACCCGCAAATGACGAGCGGCAGCGGCTGGTGATGGCACGCCCAACGCACCTCCTCATCATCCGAGTCGTGCAGCGCAGCGCGCTTGCCTCCCCGAGCAGCCTAAAAGATGATGAGAACGTCGCCCCTGTGAGAACCCACCCCCCCGTCCACCAGTCGCGTCGACGATCTCTTCCCCCCCACAACACGAGCAGTAGCACGTCGGACACCACAGACGAACACGCCCCGACCTTTGTCTGGACGATGGGCGCATCCTCGTCCTCACTGTCCGAGGACAGCATCTCTCGTCGAGGCATCGCACCGGTAAATGCTGGCAGCGAGAGAGAAGAGAGAGAGAGCGAATGCAGAGATTTTTGAGAGAGAGGGAAGTGAGCTGGAGAGGGAAGAGAGAGATGATGTGGAGTTCGAAGAGGGATTGAGAGAGATGGAGCGAGCGTGGAGGAGTTTGAGAGATCACCCCCAGACGGAATTCTCAAGGGTTGTGGTGAAGGGCATAAGCGATAGTGTATCACTCATCACACTGTACTTCTCAGAACTACAAAGTGTGACACACATCACATTTTCATCCAATTGTCAGACAAATCTGTTTGTATCAAATTGAAACACAAAAACCAAGCCAAGCCCTATACAGATACACAGGTGTTGCGACAGCATTACACCATCGCGGTCCAGCGGCAGTTACCAAACGTAAGTGCACCGCTTCGCCCAAACACACACACACACACACACACACACACACACACATCATGTGATTTGATCTGAGAGCATGAAACGGCAGCCGCACCCTGGCTCCGGCCCTGAGCTGGTCAGCTGCGAGGCCATGCATGGAGAACACATATACCAACGGTCTTGACCAGCCCATTGGCTCAACCCCCCTCTCCCTCTCTCCCCCATCACAAGCAAGCCCTTTCCAATACACACCAGCCCAGCCCAGCGAGCTGATGCGATTATGACATCTTGATGTGTGTGTGTGTGTGTGTGTGTGTGTGTGTGTGTGTGTGTGTGTGTGTGCGCGCGCTTCCGATATATCTATCTCTGTGTGCTTGATATTTGGCAGCCAGCCCCGGGGTTGTGCGCGTGTTGGTGGCGGGGCCAGGCGTTGGGTGTGGGATGTGAGGTGCAGTGGGTAGGGCAATGGTCGGTGGATATGCCGTGAATGACATCAGACACCAGGGCATGTGGGATTGGCTGGGGAGGTTGTGCGTCTGGTTGCTGGGGCCGGCTGAGCAGGAGGAAGCACCTGGTGTCCCACCACCACCGTGCCACTTTGTCTGGACAGCCCATGTTGCTTCTCAGGGTCGTCTTGTTCATGGGTCTGCTGAATGCCTGCCTTGGTCCACCATAGAACAAGCGCGTGATCAAGTCAAAGCGCGACCTCTTCGCTTTTTCGCTTCTCGGTCACACAGGTGGGTGCAGTGCGGACATGGCCCTCTTGAGTGTCTTTGTGTCTTGGCGTCGTGAAAGACACTCCTTCCTTCAGGATATCCAGCGTGTTTGTGGCCTGTCTGGACACGCTTTTCTGATACAAACACTCTGGGTGCGCATGCAGAGATATATAGACATGGCGTCTTTGACACGCGTGATGACGGCGAGCCGCGCCAATGTGCGCGCGCTCAGCACCTCTGCGGCCCTGGCCGCAGAGAAGGTACGCTCGCCACCAGCCAGATTCCTTCTCTGTGTTGAAACCCCGGCATCCCCGCTCGCTCATGGCCTCTGCCTGTCCTGCCTCACTTGACATTTGGGGGACCACAGGTGACGGTGCGTGATGCCCTCAACGCGGGCATCCGCGAGATGATGCAGAAGGACGACAAGGTCATCATCATGGGCGAGGAGGTCGGCCAGTACAACGGCGCCTACAAGGTCACGCGTGGTCTCCTGCAAGAGTTTGGCGAGAAGGTATCCTTCGCGCATCGTTGAGCCTCGCTCAAGCCTTGGAATCGCGCACCCCTGTCGCGCGCCCCCGTCTTTGGTGGTTCGCCGACCAGCGCGCTCACCACCACTTGCTCCTCCCTCGTACAGCGCGTGATTGATACCCCCATCACGGAGATGGGCTTTGCTGGCGTCGCTGTGGGTGCTGCCATGGGTGGCATGCGTCCCATTTGCGAGTTTATGACCTTCAACTTTGCCATGCAGGCCATTGACCACGTGCGTTGTCGCGGTGTGCCATGCCTCCTCTCACTGGTCCTGCATACTCTCAGCTTCTCCACCTCACTCATCAAAGCTTTGCGCTCCGCTGCTCAGATTGTCAACTCGGCGGCCAAGGGCAAGTACATGTCGGCGGGCATTGTAAGCATCTCACCGCAACCAACGCTCCCGCGCATCCTGCGCCCCCGCGCATCCAACGCTCCCGCGCATCCTGCGTGCCTGTGTCCCTTGCCCTCACCGCTTCTGGTTCTGCTTGGGTCTGGGCTTGTGCCCGCCTTGTCTGTCCATGGCTAGCTGGATTGCCCCATCGTCTTCCGTGGTCCCAACGGCATGTCCGCCGGTGTGGGTGCCCAGCACTCGCAGTGCTTTGGTGCTTGGTACAGCTCTTGCCCCGGCCTCAAGGTGGTTTCCCCTTGGTCCTCTGAGGATTGCAAGGGTCTGATCAAGGCTGCCATCGCCGACCCCAACCCCGTCGTCGTGCTCGAGAACGAGCTGATGTATGGCAAGGAGTTTGACATGTCTGATGAGGCCATGTCTTCCGACTTTATCATCCCCATTGGCAAGGCCAAGATTGAGCGCGAAGGTTTGTTTGTCGCCCACCCTCGTCTCTCCTTCGCGCGTCGACCCGTCAAAGCGTTGCCGGTCATGTTCTCTTTCTCCATTGAGCCATTGAGGACACGTGCTTAGAGTCCGATGTGCCGTGGCCGTCTCATCTCGCGCGTGTGCATCATGTGGGGTTTGGCGCGTCCATCTTCCAGGTACTGACGTGACCCTTGTGGCACACTCCATCGCTGTCGGTTTCGCCTTGGAGGCTGCCGATCAGCTCAAGGCAGAGGGCATCAGCTGCGAAGTGATCAACCTCCGTTCCCTCCGCCCCATGGACACTGAGGCCATTGTCAACTCGGTCAAGAAGACCAACCGGTATGCGCCCTTTTCTTGAAATCAGCTGCCAGGCGTTTGCTGTGTCATTCCTGCGCGTTTGCCGTGTCCCGTGCCCGGATCTCATCATGCCATGGGCCGCGTGCGTGTATAGCCTGATCACTGTTGAGGCTGGCTGGCCTCAGTCGGGCGTTGGCTCGGAAATTTGCGCCCAGGTTATGGAGAGTACGTTGCTTGGTCGCCCATTGATCACTTTGTCGAGGCTGGGACCCAGCACCTCGGCAAGGGTGTCTGCGCCCGTTCCATCCGTGTCGGTCATCTCATCCCTCATGCATTCTTGCTCCGCGCCTGGTCGTGCGTGTAATGTGCAGCCGAGGCGTTTGACTACCTGGATGCCCCTGTCCTGCGTGTGACGGGTGCGGATATTCCCACACCTTATGCGAAGAACCTTGAGGATCTGGCTTTCCCCAACGCCGGCAACGTCGTGCGCACCGTCAAGGGCATGCTCAACATCCAATAAGCCCACACAAGCACCCCACAAGCACGCTATGCGATTGTTGCATTGTCCAGGCTCGGCTCATGGGTTTGCATGGTGATTCATCCATTGTGTTGGCCCCTGGTGCAAAAAGCGCCTCGGTGTAGTGCACATTGTGCGCGCGCGCGCGTTTGGTCCTTTGTCTTTCTTTCCGTCCTTCTCTCTTTTCCCTTGACAATTTTTTTAGTTGAACCCACAAAAGGCACTTGTTCAAATGAGCACACGCCATCTGTCGGCGTTGCCGAGGCCGCTTTCAAGCACGGGCGACAGACAGAGAACTAGCTTGCATCAGCACCAGTGTTTCTTTGCTTCTCTCTTGGCTAAAACAAGACGCTCGATCGCAAAAATTCTTAAGAAGATCGTTTTTAAGAAGATCGTTGGCGATAACGACGGCAAGGACGTCGCATGTGATCATTGTGGGTCGTGGGGGGTGAAAGAATGATCGGCCGGTGCCATCGCCAAACAAGGCAGTAACACAAAGGAAGCGGCGAGAGGAGCCGGGCATGGTTGCATCAAGAGTTCAAAGAGATGTGCTAACAGTCGCGTTTGGCGAAAGCGAGCGGCCAGGGTCAAGTCTCAAGAGGCCACTTGAGGTAGTCCGCCGTCAGCAATTAGCCGCAACTTTGGATGTGATGAGTTCGTCTCGCAAGCGCGAGCAGTCGGCGAGCGCATCCCGAACTTCTTCGACAGGTATGCCACTCAGGCATCCGAAGCCCACAGTTTTGACTTTTTGATTTACGACCTTTACAGTTGCCGTGTGGCTTGATACGGCAGCTGTGCGTGGGCGGCAGAGCTTGTTCAGCTCCGCCCCCGGCGGTGGACGACCGACATCATTGGCGGAAGACATGGTCCGGGCGCCGTGGTGGGTCCACACACCCACACCCACAATGCCTCCTCTCTCTGAAACCATGTCACTGCGTCAAAGGTGAAAAGGGGGTTTGAAGAACGCTCCCGTGGGTTTCTCGGATTTTCGCGAACTGCCCGTAGGGGGCCAATTCAGGCGAAGCATCCAGAACGTACGTTGGGCTTTCAATGTCGCCGGGGAGGAGCGACGACGCTGTCGGTGCGATGGACGGACGCAGTGATGTAGGGCCGAGCACGTTCACCGCCACCGCCCGCTGTCCCGCTGCCGTTTGACACAACACGAGAGAGAGAGAGAGAGAAAAGAAAAAAAAAAGAGAGAGAGAAACACACACACACACACACACACACACACACACACACACGCGCGCGCGTTTTGACACTCAACGAGCACGATCCCTCAAAACCACAACACCAGTATCATTTCCACCCAATTTTTCCACGTAAAATAATACTACCAAGTCAGCGGCATCCCGCACCTGTAATGCAAACGGCAAAACTGACGTTTTTTTTTTTTGGTATTTTTTTCTTTGTGTGTGTGTGTGTGCGTGTGTGACGTTTCACAGAGAGAGAGAGAGACGGTTCTGGTGTGTGCTCGCAGCAGCTTGCTTCTTCTTCTCGGACGGACGGGGACGTCGTCGTCGTCGTCGTTGTGTCAGGCTTTGGTGAGAACGGGTGAGATTGCATTCAAACCCTGCTGAGCTGGGGGGAGGGGGGGGTGGGGTTGTGGATGTACTGGGTGGAGACTGGTTGCATGGTTGGTTGTGATGGCGGAGGAGGACGAGATTGCCGAAGCACTTTTAGGAATTGCAAACCGTCAAGCAGCCGAATCAACGGCGAGAAGGGCCGGTACTGACACGGGCCGGCAGACTGCTGTTGATGAAGCCACCGCGACGAAACAGTCTCGAAACCCCGTGATGGATACCTCCGATGCTCTTCAGAGCGCGAATGCGGATGCGGCTGCATCGCACCGCCACAAGCACAAGAAACACAAACACAAGAGCAAGAGCAAAAAGGACAAGCGAAGGAGTTCTCGCAACGGCCAGGACAGCAGTATGGGCGGCGGCAGCGGCAGCGATTCACAAGTCAACGGGGCCTATCTAGGCAACCCTGGCATGATGCCTGGTATGGTCATGCCGCCTGGAAGCATGCCCACCCAATGGGCATTTATGCCCAAAACCTACGAATCCTCCTTTTCTGCGTCCATGCCTGCCTTTTCTCAGGCCGACCCGATGCTCTATCTCCACGCACAACCCGGTGCTATGTTTGGGTCCGGAATGATGCCAGGCGGTCCTGGCGGCATGGCCATGGGCACCACCGGCAGCCACACGGGATATAGCCATGCCAATCCCTACGGCCCGCGCGATGCCATGAATGACATGACCACAGTCTCCAAAGCCACATCCGTGGCCAACCCAAACGCTTACGCAGACCTCAGTGCCTATCCGGCTGCAAACTATGCTCCAAGTACGGGCAACATGCCGGTCTCCAGCAACTCGGTGGGCCTTTCAGCCTCCAGTTTTCCGGCCGCAGGCATTCCGCCCGGCACCTACGCTCATCCCATGGGCAACGGGGTCGGCTCCGTTCCCAGCACCGGCGCTGTTGCCGGCACCGCCCCAACCCCTGGTGCTCGGCTCCCCGTTGAGGCTGGCACAATGGGTTCCATGATGATGGGTGGCGATGGCTCGCTCGGTTCCGCGACCAGCATGAGCGGCATGATGGGTATGAACGGCATGGGCGGCATGAACGGCATGGGCGGCATGAACGCTATGGGCGGCATGAACGCTATGGGTGGTATGAATCCGATGAACCCCATGAACGGCATGAACCCCATGAACGGCATGAACCCGATGAACGGCATGAACCCCATGGGTGGCATGAATGGTCTGAGCAACATGGGTGCCATGAACTCCATGGGCGGGCTCCCCGGGCTTGCCATGCCTGAAGCTGGCGCAAGCAACCTTCTGGCCACATCAGCCAAGCTGACTGCCCCAAATGAGGCCTTGCGTCCAGAACAAGAGGCACAGCTCGCATATCTGCACTCTCTTTGGCACATAAAAAAGGACACTTACGATGATTTGGCCAAGCGGGAGATACCCTTTCGCAAAGGCAAGTGGCTTCCCGATGAAGAACTTTTGTTGCAGCGCAACATTGATGACTTTAGGCAGGAACATCCTCAAGTCGACCTTGAAGCTGTCGTCTGTGGTGTCAGCAAGGATCGTAACATCAAGCGAGCTTTCTATAGTCGCGCTGCGCGTGGCATCTGGCGGCCCATCTTTCACGTGTATCGCCGTGTCCTTCGAACATACCAAAACGATGTTGCCTCGTCCACCAAGTCCAAACCCTTTTCGACCGAAGAGTCAGCTCAACTGCTGCGTCTCCATCAACAAGTTGGTATCTGCCTCAGCTCGCCTGGCCCGCTCCCACATGTTCTGCAAGCCCCATACCAATGTGGCTTGCTTCGTCGATTCGGTCACTGACCACTTGCTTCTGGTGCGTGTGTCACAGTATGGCAGTGATTGGAAGCGCATTGGTCAGTTGATGCACCGCACACCACAAGCAGTAAATGACCATTACCGCCACAAGTTGCGCCACGAGCACTCAAAGCAGGGTGCCTGGACCAAGGAAGAGGAACAGGCGCTCCTCAATGCGGTCAAGCCCTACTTACTGCCGGACGGCCAACTCATGGATCAAGTGCCATGGGAACAAGTCAGCGCCCAACTGAATGGCGATCGCACGCCGCTGCAGTGTCGCCAGGTGTACGTTCACCGGCTGCTCATTAAGATGCAGCGCTCTCGGTTGGGCAAAAGCGATGCGCCTGAGTGGTCCATCAAGGACACCCTCAAATTGCTTGAATACATTCAAGCCTCGAAAGCGACACACCTTGACCTGGTATCCATGATATCGCCATGGGCCATTGGGAATTGCACGGCGTTTTAGTTTGGAAGGCGTGCGGACCGTTCGTGCTAACAGACGTCGTGGGTTTCTCGATAGGTACCCTGGGATCAACTCGTGGAGCGTTTCGACTCGATCTATTCGGCTTCGAGCTTGCGGGTACGCCTTGATCCCAGCTGGTTTGGATGTTCGCTGATCTTGTTTTGTTTACTAAGGGTTTGTCCGAGTGCATACGATGATCCACAACGCTATCCAGTCACATTTCCCTTCTGCCCTTCGTCCTTTTGCCTCTCCTCCACCTTGATAGCGTAAAGCGACACGCTATTTGCATAGCGCGCCATCTTCTGTCAAGGAACAAGGTCTCCAAGGTAACCACAACCTGCCATGCATCTGCCTTTCATCCTTCGTGCTCAAGCGACCGCTGCCTTTCGCGTGTACCTTCCGAGTTGCCCCACCGACCTGACTCGCACATCCTGCCAATAATAGCGCGCATTGAATGGGGTCTTCTCACTGGCAAGAAAAACGCTGGGTATATGAGTGACTCTGACGATGAGGAGCCGCACTCCAAGCGCGCCAAAACCCACAAGAGCAGCAGCTCTCTCAATAGCAAGAAAAAGAAGAAGCACAAACACAAGCATCACCGCCATCGCCACGATGGCACGTCAACGGACCTCGTCACCTCCAGCCCTGTTGAAGCTACACCCGCCGCCGCCAACGTGGTTGCGGATGCTATTGTTGACTTTCAGTTGGACGCCAAGAAGAAGAGAAAGTCAAAGGATCGCAGTCGGGAGAGCTCTTCTCGGCGCAAGCACAAATCACGCTCCCACAAGTCATCCAGTGAGGAGCGCCATCGACGTCACCAACATCACCACGGGGACGCAAATGCAGCCACCTCGGGTGAGACCAGTGCCGTTGCCACGACAGAGCCGCCCACAACCACCAGCCCACCCAGCGCTGCACCCGCCGGCGAAAGTCAAGGCTACGCTGCGCCCGTGGCGGCACAAGCTAGTCATGCTAAAGCCGAAGCTTAGGTGCTATCGGTTGCCAAGGCTTCCATTCACATGTGATCATCTTCTTTTTGTTCTCAACCATGTCGTTTTCTGAGTCAACCCTGAGTTTGGTCATGTTCTACTTTTATTTTATTTTTGTTTTGTTTTGTTTAGTTTTGTATTGTTGTTCTTGTCTCGTTGTTCGTCTCCATAGTGTATTTGTCATCCGTCCCTCGACACACACTTTTCAGGTACTCGACGCAGGAGCGGACCGATCTGCAACCAGGACAGATGCCGAGTTTGGTTTGGGCCAATAATCGAGTTGGTGTGAGCGCCGTGCGCTCACGTGTCAAGCGCAGGATGTGGCGCGTTGTTTATCATGATTTGGTTGTCTCGACCTGGTCGTGCACATCACAATCATGCTTGCACGATAAGCGTCCGCATGACTGGCAGTCTACAATTAAGTTTAAAGGGTTCTATATTCGCGTGTCACATCTATGACAAGCACGTATCGGCAATATCGCTGGCATGGAGCAGGACCAGCAGTTGTATCATTACTATGTTCAAAAGAAAGCATTGCCAAACACACCAAATCGTTTTTCGAGTTGGAGCCACGTGTAATCGGAGGCACCTAGTGCGTCATCTTGAAGTTGGCGGGCAAAACTGGTAGGGCATCCACTTCCTGCAACAGCTCCTTGAGAGATTGTACGGAGAATGGTCGACCCTTCCAGTGCTTGTTGGCAAATCGCAAGCGACCTTGCGCATCAAGAATCACAAGATAGCCAGGCGCGGCTGCGTAGTCTATCTTGAGTCGTTGACAATCGCGGCTGCAGAGGTACACATGTGCATATAAGAGCATTTGACGACAGGGTTGCAAGGCGGAAAGACCACAAGAAAGATACGATGAAAAAAGCGCGCAAACACCAGGACGGGGCCAACAAGCCGACTCTTTTCGCGAGCTTCAAACATCATCGCCCTCTGCACATCTGTGCTAGCTCACCTGCCAACGGCATAAAGCGCTACGAAGACTGGACGGGGGCCAAAAGTGCACTGTCCACGCTGTGCATGCATGATGGTTTGGTACACCGTCTGCACGGCGCTCACAAGGGGATCGCTGATCATCGCGGCTGAAGGTGCGTGACAAGCCAAAATAGCGTAGCTGTTGCGGGGAGCCGACTGGGCGAATTGTTGCAACATGGTGTCGGTACAATGTGTCGCGCTCTTGTGCAAACACCCGCAGGCTCTAAACGGTGCAGCAAGATGGGTCAGCCATGCGTGCTGATGACACTCCCCCGGCGGCCAAGAGCATATTATCGAGAACACAAAGAGCATGCGGACTTGGCAGAGCGACTAGGAGCGCCAGTACGGGAGAAGCAATAGGGGCCGGATGATACGGCTGACGTTGGTCGACTACGACCTCGTGTTGTTGCTTGCTTTTGTTGCGTGGATGACCCTCGCACTGCACCCATACGGCAAGCGATCAAAGCGTGAGCACAGCGCACGTGGTATGGGCATGGCGTGGCGAACGATAAGACAGGCGATGGAGGGGCGAGTGCGGGCCGTACGAGTTGGTGGGGCTGTGCGTGGCCTGGCCAAATGATTAATGGCTGCGCGTGGGGAGCGTGCTGACTTGACGCGCAGCGTCGACGTGGGTCGATGTGCCTGCCGGGAAAAGAAAATCCAATAAAGCACACTTAAATGTTAAAAAAAGGCTGATGCGCGATGACACATGGCTTGGACGCTTGATGCCACTGCCAACGTACCGGAAGCTTGGAGGATCCAGGGCGTCCAGGCTTTGCCGTGGCGTTGGGCGCATGTGGAACGCGTGCTGAGCTGCCAGATCCTCCAGCATTCACAGTTGAAGTGCTCGGCTCACTGGGTAGCTCGACACCATTTTCCGCCAAATTCAGGCCGACAAAATTGCCGAGTCGATCGAGGAGATCGGTCGTGCGCGCACGTAGATCGGCAAGCATGGCAGACTGCGGCGGTACCACCTGCATGCTTGCACACACGGCCGGTACCGAGCTGCCAACGCTGACCGTGAATCGTCGATCCTGGGTAAAGCGCAAGAGGTTGTGAAGCGTGAGGGAAAAAAAAAAAAAAAAAAAAAAAAAAAAAAAAAAAAGCCGCTTGTGATGGCAAAGTCATGGTGGCAGTGTGGACCTACCTCTTGCGCTGGTGCTGATGGGCGATGGTGGCGGACAGTGATGCGCACGTCCGTGCGAGACTTGACGCGCACGGTCAAACAGGGGTTGATGATGGCAGTGTGGCTTGCAGCTGGGTCGCTCCACCGCAAGACTTCTTCCACATCACCTTCTGGATTGCATGTCGTAAGAAGATCGCGAGTGCAGACGAGGCGTGGCTGCCCGGTGGGGTGATAGCATGCGCCGCCGCTGATGGGGCTAAAGTAGGCCATGAGACGACCCTCAGGATGGTCATCGTAGGCCCAGACGTACGTGCCGGAGGGACAAAGCGATATGACCATGGCCGTATTGCCACTCGGGTAGCAAACCACCCCGCTGCCACGATGGAGTTCAAGAAAGCGGGTGCCGTCTGGGTAAGTCTGAAAAATGCCTGCACGGCTGGTGCGGGCGATGGAGAGAACGCCATCAAGATGCTGATCGGAGAGCTCGAGAATATCGGGAGACACGTGTTCCCGCAAGTCGGTGGCCGATTTGGACGGCAGCAGCTTGCGGGCCGTGGGCTTGGACGAGGGGCGATCAATGACTTCGCCGGCGCCAGCAGTGCCAGCGGCATCCGCCGGGCCCATGAGCGTGTTGCGCTCACGGCACTGGGCGGCCAAGGCGCGACCACACGCCCATTCCTGAAGGGTTTGGCGCTTGGGATTGAAGAGGTCCTTACCAGCAACTATCCACTCGGGGTGAGCGTTCAAGTCATCGCGATACTTGAACTCGAGCTGTGCGCGGCGGCCGCCACTGCGAACCACGGTTGGCTTGGAGTTGCCCAGCAGATTGTTGCTGCTAGCATTGTTGGCGGTGCCCGCAGCGCCGAGTGTGCTTGGGCGGCGCGGGGCAGGGGCGGACGAGCCACTGTCTTCGAGGGTCACGGAGGCGGGCGCGGCACGGCGCGGCGGGACGGGACTGGCACCGGTCGTTCGCGGACGATAATTTGGACTGTCGCGGGCCGAGTCGCCGCTCTGGCTGGGGCGCTGCATGTTGAACAAGGGGGCTGGGGAGACGCGGTAGGCACGTAGGTTTTGTAGGCTTGTGGTGGTACGCAAGGGCCGGGCTGTCTCAATGGGGTCAGTGTCGTCTTCGTCCCAGTCGGCGTCGGCAACGGGGCTTGGGTGTTTGCCAAAAGTTGAGGTGAGCTTGACCAGCTCGGCGCGTGTTGCCTGGAGCCAACCGCGGTGCGCGTGGGCACCAACGTTGTAGGCAAGGAGTTGCTGGAGTACGGAGTGTTTGCTTGGAGTGGCACGCGCAGCTGGTGGGCGGGCGTGTTCCGGTTCGTGGATGGTGCGCTTCCAGCGTGTGGCGGCACGGAAAGCCGATACAGTGGCGGAAAGGGTGGGTTCCGGAACCTGGGGGGTGACTCCTCGAGAGAATTCGCGGCCAGCGTCGGAGAGGGAAGGGGTGGACCGGAAGGCGGTGACGCGACCAAGCGCACGATCTCCGTTGCGGTGCCAGTACACGCGATTGTAGTCGGTGCAAAAGCCGGCCAAGTATGCACAGGCTGCGCAGGGCGCGGCCGTATGTGGGGGAAGGGCGGGTACGAGCTGTTTATCAGCGGCAGTAGTCGCTACCATCCACAACACCAAGTGGTAGGGGACTGGGCCAACGCCAGCTTCAAAAAGCACGCAGGAGCCGGTTGGGGCTTTGCTGAGCAGGCTTTGCTGAGATGGATTTCCCGCGGCAAAGGTGGTGAAGCAGCGGCCGGTGGCAGCCAATTTTCCTTTCACCGGCTGGAGACGAACCTCATAGGTTGCTTGACGACCAGCGTCGATGGGCTCGTCGTCGAGAATGCACCAACCAGGGCGGACAGCGGGCAACAGGGGCTCAGATACGGCACTTTTGGCGCGGCGACGGCGGCGCTGTGGCAGGGGGACGCACACGACAGTGGCGCCGTGGGTCACGACGCGGGCGCGTTCGGCAAATATGGCCCACGGGTCGGACTGAAACGGGGGAACAGCAGGAATAGGGTGATGGTGTATGATGGTCGGGGGCTTGCTGTGTGGTGGTCTGGGGGTGGGGTGGGCCTTGCCACCGGGTGTGAGGCCAGTTTTGGATTCCGTGGGTTGGGCTTCAAAATGTGCGCGGGATTTGACTGCGCTGGCGGGTCGAGGCGGGGGCACAGCTGAGGAGGCACGAGACGTAGGTCGGGCGTGGCTGCTATCAACGTCACGGTTGTTGCTGTCAAGATCACCTTCGGTGTCAGCGTCCGTTACAACAGGGGCTTTGATCTTGGGGCGCGGCGTAGGTTTTGGCCGAGTCTCAGGGCTGGCGAGGTGGATGTCCAGGTGACTGAAGAGGGCGTCACTGGCTTGGAATGGGCGCCTACGAAGGTCACGGGCAGAAGGTGGGGGAGGGAGGGTTGCTTCTTGGGACTTGCTTGGGGCTGGGGTGTCTTGTGTGGGCGGTGCTGAGCGGCGACCGCTCAGAAATTTGCGTGCCGCGCTGTTGGCTTTGGCAAGACCGAGTGGGCTGATCAAGGCGCCCTTACGATCCGGTGATTCAGAGCGCGGGTCCCCGAGTGTTGACTTGGCTGCACTATTTTGGTTGTTTGAATGAGTGGCGCTAGAGGTGGAGCCTGAACCCCCGCCTTGAGCCGAGCCGTTTGAAGCCTGAGGGCCCGAGGCTGAGCTTTGCGCCTGGTCGGACGCCGAATCGGCAAAGGAGTTTGTCGCGTCGGGAACGTCGGGTGTGGTGCGTTGCGCACGACGCAAAAAGAGGTTGGCAGCTTGCTTGGCTTTGATGAGGCCTGCAGTGGTAATCGGGGATGGCGGGCGTGGGATCGGGGTCGCGGCTGCGCTTTCAGCGGCCTCAGGGATGGGGTCGTGATTGGGGGCGCGCGAGGCGTAGGCTCCACCCCGCCCTGAGGCGGCCCTATCGTGGGCGCGAGTGCGGTCCCTCACGGCGGGCGGTGTCGGGCTGCGATGGAGCAAAGGAGGAGGGGAGAAAGCAGAGGGGGAGAAGCAGTGTCGGGCCAACATTGAGCTGCAAGAGGTCACCGGCTGCAGGCTTTCAACCTATAACCCCCTCGAAAGCAGGGACGGGGGTTGCATCGGCACATACCGGTGACTCGAGGTCGAGTGGGGATCTTGACGTGTGCCGGGGTTGCTGTTTGCAGAGACTGCCATGTACAACCGTGCACGCACGTCTTAGGGCCGGAGGGCCATGCACCACACCATGGCCAAGCTCTGCAAGCGAAATGATGGGCGGCGGCTACCGTACTCGCCAGGCAACAGCCCCAAACCGGTTGTCTGCCGATGCAGATTCAGACGTCACGTGCAGTCAGAGGCAAAGCCAAGGGGCGAGAGGGCGGGGAACCGACAAGTGTGCGTGTGTGAGTGTGTGTGCTTAAGGGAAAGGTTGGCTGGCTGGCTGTCAATCGGATGCAGGCAAAGCTGACATGCACATGCAGCAGACAGGAGCCCAAAGCAAAGCTCAAAGGGTCATGGGCAGAAGATGCCAAGCTTGAGACATGAGCCCGAGAAGGCAGAGGCGTGATCCTGACATGTGAGAACGACGGCGACGACGACGACGGCGACGACGAAGAAGTGTGTGTGTGTGTGTGTGTGTGTGTGTGTGTGTGTGATGTTGACTCGAAAACAACGAAAATTTCCCTCAAATTTAGTCGTAATAACTCGATATTCTGCTGCATTAACTGGATAACGATGTAATGGTACGTGGCTTTGAGTGATTGAAGTATCTTCAGCATTGTTGAAAAGGTCGTCATTAACCGTATTTGCTGCGGGTTGTGAAGGCTGACAATCTCTTGTTTACTTTGGTCAAATCGATATTGGTGAGTGGATTAAAATATGCTTGAAACGATACGATAATATGCATATCAAAACATCTGACAACCCGACCAAGGGACAGAGAGACAGAGAGACAGAGAGACAGAGACAGAGAGACAGAGAGACAGAGAGACAGAGAGACAGAGAGACAGAGAGACAGAGAGACAGAGAGACAGAGAGACAGAGAGACAGAGAGACAGAGAGACAGAGAGACAGAGAGACAGAGGGACAGAGGGACAGAGAGACAGAGACGAGACAATACAGAGACAGAGACAGACCACACACGAGTGGGTGGGGGGAATGTCCATTAAGGGGATAAGAACGTCAGTGGGTGTGAAGGCAGTTGGATGGCAGCGGGGTTGGTAGGTAGGAGAAGGAGGCGGAGGAGGAGGCGGAGGAGGCTCGGTGTTGGGATGAGGTCAGATAGGGTCATCAAAAAGAGTCGGGGACACAATGTGCTAAGTGGGGCTGTGGTGGTCCCCCGGCGGGATGTGACATGGCGCTACTTTGTACCCAACATTCCATTCCATATGGGCGTATCCTGCCAGACGACCCGGGCGTTCCTTCTTTCACGTGGCGTCTTGTGGTCGAAAGGGGCGCGGAACAAGACGCGCTCACTGAGATGGATGGATAGCTGACACGCACGTGGCCGACTGGCTGGCTGCGACCGCAGCCAGCAGTCTCAAGGCAGAAGCAGACCCAAAGAACAGAGGCCTTAACAACAAGGACACAAAGGGCAGCTGCTCAGGGGCAGCAACGCATCGCTCTCTCTCTCTCTCTCTCTCATCACCGATCCCTCAACAACCGATAAAGGAGGTCCATGTACATGATGGACCCATTGCCTACATACCCCGGGGGCCAGGGTCCACATCCCCCGCGAGGGACACAAGAGAGACGCCAACACGTCGTCGCGACCCCCAACAAAACGCTTGCAGCCACCGGTGGCGAATCACCATGCGCCACACTCTCTACCATGAACCGCCGTGTCAGCCCATGTCTCTCAAACACCTCTACCTCAACGCTTATATCCCATATTTCATCAATCTGACATTCATGTCTCTCTGAATTACGCTGTGAGTCGACCCAACTCTCTGGTGCGCCTCCTTCATTTTGCGGAATCGGCGTTACCAGCATCAGCATCATCCCCTGCTCCTGCTCCTGCTCCTGCTCCTTCCCCCTGCTCCTGCTCTTTCCCCCTGCTGCTGCTGCTGCTGCTGTGCTGGCTGCCGTTACCGTCTTGGTCTCATCGTCGTCGTCGTCGTCGTCGTCGTCGTCGTCGTCGTCGTCGTCGTCGTCGTCGTCGTCGTCGTCGTCGTCGTCGTCGTCGTCGTCGTCGTCGTCGTGGTGGTGGGCTTCGCCCTGTCAGCCTGTGGGATTGTGGGCTGGTCTGATCTTTTCTTGCATTCGCACCTCTCTCCGTCCGCGTGTGGCTGCCAGCTCGGGGTCTGGTCGTGCCTCGCCACCGCACACCTCTGTGTCGCTTTGAGCAGCGGGCTCTTCATCTTTAAGCACCAATACAGGATACCCCGCAGCCTGCTGCATCCCTGGAGAACGGGAATCAAGGGCCCGGGGCTGAACTCGTCTCAACGCGCATCACGTTCGCCGCCGCCAACGGGCTAGCTGTGGCCTCGCCGTGTTGAATCGCCACTCGGTCCAGCGGCTGCTGTCGCCCAGCCCCCCAAAGCGGAAAGGCCCCACCTTCACTGCCCGGCCAAGATGAGCCGGTTCCCAAGCCCGTACACGGAGCGTCGCGGGTTTTTCGTCTGGGAGGAACTGGGCTATCTGGCCCGAGCCTGCGGCTTTACCAACGATTTGTTCGAGCGCAACTACACCAGCAACAACGAAGGCATTGGCGAAGGGCTGTCCAAGACGCAGCTCGAGGTCTGGCTCGAGACCAATGCTTTGGACAGGGATCTGCACCGCACGGCCAACTTTCGCACCAGCTCTCAAAACGTCCTCGTCTTCAAACGTGCTGCTCGTCTCATTAGCACCCGCAAGCTCACGTTTCAAGACATTTATGATGGCCGCATCGCCTTTGACCTCTACGATGGCGAGAATGACCACGAAGGCCTTTACCTCAAGGATCTCTCTCTCTGCCTGCGCGCCCTCAAAATGGCCAACCGCGCCGCCACCGCCGCCCAGCTGCCCGCCGAGCTCCGCCGTGTCTGCCGCACCTCCTTTACCCCGGCCTGCCTGCAGCTCCCTGATTTTCTTGAGCTTATGGCTCGGTTTGCGCCCATCCATCCCAACCCCGCCATTATGACACCAGACGACGACGTGGACAGCCCCGGCCCCCAGGAAACCGTTCCCGCTGCCACGGGCCACACTCCTGTCAGCGCACGTGACCGCCAGCTTCAGCGCGACGAAGAAGCTCGCATCAAGTGGAAGGAAGCTCAGGTTTGTTGAATTCTCTCGCTTGCTCGCTTGCGCTCTTTCTTGCTCTCACGATATTGCCATTTCATCGGTTGTCTCTCGGTGCCATCATTGGGTCTGCACCTCCTCCACATTGCTCCGTTCTGCAGATGACCATCTTAACACGCCCCAACAAGCCTCGCTCATCGGCGAGTAGCTTGCGAGCTACACCGACGCCCAAGTCGCGGTCGCCCCTTCCCACCTCACCCTCTCCAACCCCAGCTTCCGCCTCCTCCACTCCCGCAGCCTCCCCCTTGCTTCGCCGCACATCCTCCTCACCGCATACCACCGAGGCCCATTCAACGTCGCCCCATCCCCCATCCACTTCGTCCTCCCCACAACCACCGGCCCGCCGCTCCCCCTCCCCTCGCATCCGACGCGCCAGCACTGCCGTTCGATCGGGGCGCTCTGAGGTTGGCCCTTTCTGCAGTTTTCATAAAGTCTTCTTCGCCGCTATCACCTGTGTATTCATTATTATATTTGATCCTGCCGCAGGTTATGGAACACATCTTGACCATGGACCAAGAATTGCAGCAATTGCGCCATGGCAAAAGCCTGTCCACGTTTGCCGCTTTGTCTGATGAAGGCCACCGCCTTATTCAAAACGTGAGCCCCTGCCCCGCCGCCCATACCTGGTCAAGAGACATGCGCTGTCCTTGACCCCATTCAAGTTGCTCCCTTCATGACCTCCCTTCATGCGTCGCCCGTGTGTTTGAGCATTGTGTGTTTGAGCATTGTGCTTTCTTTTCCGTGCCTCACTGCTCGGATTCTCACCGCTACACGACAGCTGGAGCAACGCCATCGCACCATGCCCGCCTCGGTTGTGGAGGCTCAGCAGAAGAAGGAAGCCGAGCAAAAGCAGGAGCAGAAGCAGGAGCAGGAGGCAGCCCAAAAACAAGGAAAGGTACAACGTAAGGAGCAACCCCGCCAGCGTCGAGCCTCAGTCGCTGGGCATGTCCCCGTGCGTCGCAGCGCGCGTCGCATGACGGCGACCGAGATTGACACGAGTTTTGGGCGCCGGGCAAGCCGAATCGGCCAGCTGAGCTCGCGGGCTGAGAGCGGTTTGGACAGTGTCAATGGAGACGAGCACCACACTGACATCGATGGTGAAAGCCTCAATCTCCCGGCGTCCGTGGATGCCAGCCGGCGTGCATCTGCACATCACAGTCCTACCCGCCGGGCACGCCGGCCCTCGGCACGCGACCACCCACTCGTGCGCGAGGCCTTGGCTGTCCAACCCGAGCTGGCCTCCAACCTCGACTTGCAAACCGAGTCACAACGTCCCTTGGTGACGGAGCGTGACCGTTTGTTGCAAGCGGCTGAGGTGGAGGACCTTGAATGGGATATGGCCTGCGCTAACGATCCCGAATTGCGCAAGATTTTGCGTGAGCGGCGCGTTTCCACAATCTCCGATCACTCCCAGGAGGATGGTGACGGCGATGTGGGCCATCGCCGTGGGTCCATGCGTCGGCCCAGTGGTGCCATGTCCGTGGGTCGCCACCGTCGGCGACCGAGCCGCGCCAGCACGGTATGGGCGGCCTATCCGCATGATGAGGAAGAAGACCAAATTGTCAAGGTGCAGGTGAGGGAGGACGGAGAAGAGGAGGAAGAAGAAACGGCCAGTTCCCGCGCCCTGGCCGGTCTGATTCTCGAAGAGGATGAGGATAGCCCCTTGTCCTTGGGCTCGAGCCCGAGTCGTGTTCGAGGCTCTCTGTCTCCATTGGGCCGCCTCTCAGTCCTATCAACTCGAAGCTCCATCTTCGACACGACCCCGCCACCCCAGTCTACCCCGCCTCCCAGCTTTCAAGTGTCACTGCCCCCAAGTTCGCCAAAGCGCTCGCCCTACAGTCATGGGCTGTCCTCGTCGAGTCGCCGTGAGTCCATCGTGGAAAGCAATCTGCTCAACCTCGAGGTTCGCGATTGGCACCAGCCCAACAAGTGGGACCCGTGATCTCATTCCATGGCTCCATTCGGTTTGGGTTTTTGACACACGTGCCTGCGTCAGCAACCCTGCCCAGTCTTGCCTGGGCTGATACCACCTTCCGATCATTAACATTTTCTGATTATGACTATTTTGAAGTTTACTGTCGTGCATCAATTATAGCTCTTGTGGCATGTTGGCATGCCCGATGAACTTATTCCTACTATTATCATTATATTAACGTGTTGTTGTTATGACTTTGGGTGGGATACCTGATTCAGCTGAGAAAATTTATGCATCAAAAAAAGAAATGATAAAACTAAGTACTGTACTACTGTGCCACGGCAAGTCACGAGCAACGCCTCCAGTTGGTGGTGTGGCCCAAAGGTGTCAGTTGCGCCTCACCGTTGTCAGAGGAGCTGCGGTCGGGTCACGCTGGCAAGGGGCGTCTCAGCTTCAAGGTTGGCATACTGCGCCGCTAGCTCGTTTAGGCTGTTTAGCGCCACGTCGAAATGACCTTGATCCATGCCCTCGGAAGTAAAGTGGTGCTTGAAGGCGCGCTTGCGATAGAGCTTGAGGAAGCGATCCCGGACAGCGACAAAGCTGTTACGAATACACGTGTTGTTGGCCAGGCAGAGCAGGCTGCGGCTTTGGCGCACAGAGGCTTGGCGGCACATGCCAATCTTCCAGCCGTCAGGATTCCAGTCCGCAAAGCGCAGCTGCTGCTTCATGCGATCGACGTTGCGTCGCACGTCAGACATTTCCACGTCTCCGCGAAGCATGAGGGTGCAGGCGCTGAAGAGGCCCCGGCGTGGGTCGCTGCGCAGTAATTGGAAGGAACGGTCAAAGGCATCGGTAAACATTTGATCCAGGCGGCGGGGCGGCACGTGGACGTCGGCCAGGTCATAGAGCGGCGAGAGGCTGCTGGTCACAAAATGCATCTTGGGAAAGGGCACCAGGTTCATTGTCAGTTCATTGACGTCGACGTTGACTGAGCCGGGGAAGCGAGAGCCGGACGTCATGTCCAAGAGCATCTTGGCAACAATCGAATTCATGCGGCGCCACGGCCGCTTGTTTTCCCCGACGCTGCCACTGCCATCTACCTCAGACTTGGCCTTGAGCTTGCCTGCATTGAGTGGCCCGGTTGAGACACTTTGGGAAACAAGGCTCTACCCGTCGGCGCGCGTGTTGCAGCTCGAGCGCGCGAGGTGCAAGAGGTGGAGGGGCAGGAGTTGCATTTACCTTTGCTCATGGTGTCAATGTTGGCGACAATGTCCGCCAAGGCCTGGTTTTCCACGGGCAGGACGCAGTCGGCAAATTCCTTGAGTTGATGCGTGGCAAAGGAGCAGTTGTATGGCGACGTAATGACGTCGTCGTCCTGCCAGAACAAGGAGTCAGCGGTGAGCCAAGTGAACAGGTCAGTATTGCGCCAGTGCCCACAACGCGGTGAACGCGGCGCCACGAGGCCAAGACAGTCAAGGACACCTCGCTGGGGTAGACGGGGACGACGAAGCGATAGACGTCGGGAAAGGCGTCGTGGAGCATTTCAACGAGCCAGGTCCCGAGGCCCGAGCCGGTACCGCCACCCATGCTATGTAAGAGGAGGAAGGATTGCAGGCAGTCACAGGCCTCGGCGGCCCGGCGCACGGCCTGTTCAATGTCTGCACCATACTGGGCGCCGTATTGATGGTAGCCCACGGCCCAATTGTTGCCGCTTCCGCTCACGCTGGTGACGCAGTGAGCACGATCAAAGAGTTCGCCGAGCGGACCCCGTTGCAAGCCGTTGACGACGCCTTCTTCCATGTCGACCAGGACCGCCCGGGCGCGCAGCGTGGCAATGGGCTGCTCGCCTTGACCCACGGGCAAACGACGGGGCGGATGAACCGAGGTGTCGACATTTTCAAAAAACGTGTTCATCGCCTCGTCAAAGGTCCCTTGGCTATTGATGGCGGCATGTTCTTCGAGTGCCCGTTGCCAGAATTGCGCGCCAATCTGTGCACCTCACAGGTCAACCTGAGTGCCACCGAGCGCAGGATCGTCTCCGGTACAAGGCAGCCCGGCGGGGGGGTCATGCACGCACCTGGTTGCCGCATTGGCCCACTTGCACCACAATAGACTGGGTCATGGCGGCCACCCGTCGTCCCACTGATGCGTCAACGCCCACCCTCGACACACACAAGGAAGCCTGCTGTCCCCACCACCAACCACACAGCACAAAGGCCAGAACAAACAGCAAGCAAGCCGAGGAGGCGACCACGGCACTCGAGTGGGCGGCGTCGGCGCCGAACGGGGAACCGGGGCGGTAAAACAGCACGCGAACAAAGTGATGATAATTGTGTCCACTCATAAACTCTCGAAATCAGTGAGAATACTTGGTTTTATCTGACATTCACCCAACATTTTGCTGACGTTGATGACGTCAATCCGAAGCAAGGCGCGGTGGCGCTTACCAGCGTTGGTGACGTCACGGGCGCGATTGACAAGACTCTGGCCTTGTTCAAGTAATCGTAGCCAATATCGAGTTTATTGTAGTTTTCATGCTGATATGTACGTTACTTATAGTAGATACTTTATTGGTAATATGCGATATCCGGTCTCCCGATGACTTGATCGAGCCGCACGGCTCCATAGCTCCATGGGCCACGGAGGGAGGATGCAAGCATATGTGTGAGTACAAAGCATTGATCTGATGATTGTGGCAAGCTGCACCGAGCTGCCCCCTGACCGATCGCACACTCACACACTCACACACTCACGCACACTCACACACTTACACACGGTCTGTTCCTATGGCTCGGTGATCAAGCACATGCTCCGTGGCCGTGGCGCCGCCCGCTCTGCCACGATTCTTGTGCGATTCTTGCTTCCGATGGAGCGGCGCTTGCTTCGCGTTCCACGACTCGCATGGGCTCACCATGTCCCAAACCCTCTTGCCAATGGGCTTTTGGGGGAAGGAGCTCATGAAGATTGCTCTGGGTTTCTTCTAGCGCATCCGGGTCAGGCTCGGCGCCCCTGTCAACCTGCCAACGTCGCGGTGCAGACAGGACGCTCTCAACCTTGCATCCGCAACGCCCGAGTGATTCTCGGTGGACGCGACGATTCGAACACGAAAGCACGCTCGGCTGCCGCTTCAGCAAAGTCTTCATGACCTCAAAAGCGGCCAATCTGGCTGCAGATGGTGGTCGCGGGCCATCGCGATCACGCAGGCAACACACCCCAACGTCGTCGGTGATGACGGTCAGCTCAGTCCAAAATCAAGCCCCTGGCCGTCTCATTGAGCGGCAAGTCTTCCCAAGCCCGATCATGGTTTTGCAGTGCCTTGAACGTTTTGATGGCCGCCCCCACGCATGCAACGCGGGGGGCTTCGCATGTGAAAACGACGTTGTTTGAGATCCTCTTTGATCAGCTCGACCCCAGGCAGCGGAGGAATAATTGCACTCGATCGCGCTTCGACTGCGCACGTTGACCGCGACGGCCTTGCGTCTTTGTCACATCCCATGTCGCCTGTTACCGTGTTACCCCTCCATTCCGGGCCGTCAATATCAGTCGTGCGGCGATCACGCGCACTTTTCTGCCCTCCCCCTCAAACCCCCTACCCCCTACCCTGGCCCCTCGCTTTGCTCAAGGGTTGGTTGTTTGACCGTTGTCCCAGCAAACGTCAAGCAAAGGCAACGTGGTCAATGCTGGTCCCAAAGGACCCTAATGTAGCTCATACCATCCTGCATCTTACCTTGACTCCGGCACGCCAAGGGCGCAAGAGGGGGTTCCTTGCCGCCGAGTGTCCTCCTCAAATGACCTGAGTGGCCCTTTTCTTGCACATCGTGCTCAATCCGTCCTTCGAATGACCTCTTTCGGTCGACTTGGCCGTTCGACCCCGCCCATTGTCACCTGGGTCAGAGATGGATGTGGGTGTCATCCTCAAGACGTTCGCCGGCGGCTGGCGCCGCCTGATGGGGACACTAGCGCTAGCAATCCAAATGCCTGGCCGGTTGTCGTGACTGAGAGGTGAGAAAGATGCCGAGAATAGGATGGGGTGACATGGGGTTACGGGTCACAGGCATCACACACAGCAAGCGGTGACACCTCCACTTGGCGTCGCGCATCTGATGACTGCGCCCTTATTGCCTCTATCGACGCCGCGCTAGGACCACAGCGGAGCCAGCGCATAGCGAGCGTGATCAAAACTCTGGATACGACGCGTTGCAAACGCATGCCGAATACCAGTGGCGCAGATCCAGTCGGCAGGCATTGAAGCTTGCGTCGCGTGCCACCACGCTGGCCTACCGTAGCCGTCTAGTCGGGCAGGCAGGCATGATGCTCTCTTGCCGTGTCATGGCGCATGCATGAACTGAGCCCATGGCGCAATGGGGGCAAGGCGGGGAGTGGGTGGGTTCGGTGACTGATGTACTCGTCCGAGGTACTGCGTCCTTGCGCTGCACGAGAAACCCGAATTGGCTGCCGGCGAGTGTCGGGTTGCCCGGGTGTCGCTTATCATCAAGCAACACGGATCTCGTGCCGTCTCACCAGAGCATGCATGCGAAACAACAATGTGCAGAGTTAAAAGTAATTGAGCCTAAACCTGATCAATTGCGTTGCGAGACTAATCCAACATCATGCATCAAACAACAGCAGAGACCAAAGAATGGAATTAAAAAAAAAAGAACACGGCGGGCGGGTAACGATAGTAAAGAAGACACGGCCTTGGGGGCATTGTTGGCGAAGACGCCAAGCGGCGCCAGCGCGCAGATGACGATGCGTATGCCAAAAAAAAACCCCCGGCTACGCCGCTCCGGACAAGCATGCAACATGCGAGACAATCAAACAAAAACTTTCGGGAAAACCGCAAAGCACGTCTGTCCAGATCAACTCTTCAAGTCAAAGGCCGGAGAACACGGGAAAGCAGCGAGGTTAAACCAAAGAAATAGTAAAAGAGCCTAGGATGATAAGAAAAAGACAAGTCGGTCAAGGAGATATCAGGTCTGTAAACGCTGACCAAAAGCAGGAGGGAGACACTCAGGACGGCACAGCACAGCACAGCACATGAACGTGCACGCGCATTGAGCCCTGGCTGAGCAGCATGCTGGCTGAGCAGTAGGGCACGGCGCGTACACGTTGCTTGTTGCGCACAGCGCAACAAAAGCGCAACCGAGATGGTGGTGGCTGGTCGTAGACCACGCAAGACCCCACGTCAAGAGGAGCATAGAATAAGATTTAGAATCCAGGGAAAGAACATGGCGGTAGAAGAGATGAGAGCCACGTCGCAGACCGGATCACAGCGGGCGGTCTACCATGTGGCTCTCAGACAGGGAGTGAAGGTGCTCAGAAGCGGCACGACCGCTTTGCGGCGTGCAGTTGATCGTCAGTCGCTGCATCCTCCAGATGGCGACGCTGTGCTGCGTGACGAGCCAGACTTGGGGCGTCATCGAGCTCGCCATCATCGTCGCTGAAGCTGTTGTCACTATCAAAGACGTCATCCTCTTCATCAGTCTCGACAAAATCGTCTTGGTCTGCTTCGTCGTCCTCGTCGTCCTCGTCGTCCTCGTCGGGAAAGAGGACCTCGAGCGCCTGGTCGAGGCAGCTTTGATGATAGTCTACTAGTTCTTGAGACATGCCACCGTCGGCTAGGGTCCGGACGAGTGACTCAACCTCTAGCACGTATTCGACCAACATATTTTCCAGGTCCTCGTTGCCGTGTTCGAGGTCGTTGAGAAAGGCTTGCTCGGTCTCAAAGGCACCCGCGGCAAGATCCGAGCTGCGAAGCTGTGGGTTGGCGTCAAGACTTGATTGGTTCTCCTCGGTCGGTGTGCACCAGCCCGCCTACATGACATGTCAGGCAAAATGACAAGGTGAGAACGAGGGTGACCGCCAGCCAAAGTCGACACCATTTGATCATGGTCAGCAGCGGCGAATCGTATGAGCGAGGCGCTGCACGTTGTGGCGTACCGAGCAAGTGGGAGCAGGGACCTGGCGCTGGGGCGGCAGTTGTGGGGTCAGGGCCACGGGTGGAGAGGCGCCCGAGAGTTGGGAACTGGGTGAGGCCAGGAGGCGTGGAGCTGATTCCTCCGTGGATGTTGAGGGGTGGTTGAGCAGCGGTGCCTCCTTGGCAGCGGGGGTACAAGGCATGGCGGACAGAGATGCTGAGTGCGACATGGCTGCCAGTGTGTGGATCAA